GCGGAGGTGACGACAAGAACCCGCTCATCCACACCACCCACTTCGACCACGATCACAACGATCTGGATGAGGAGCATCGGCAGGAGGACGACGAGGAGGACTCCGATGGGGGCCATGGCGATTCGGAGACCAGCGGAGGCGATGACAATGGATCATCCAACGCCCCGGAGAAGATGACCCTGCGTCGCGCTCTGGTTGTTTATCTGCTGCCGCTTTATATGGCGTGGTTCGGTGGCATTTGCGCCGATTTGCTGTGATTACTCAATGTTCGAAAGGCAGCCAAGGTGGAGCACGGCTGCATCCCCTACACCTCTCAGTCATTCATCCGTGAAGCAAAATGTTATTAGCAGAACTACATGCAACCCTTATATACGAAATGCGAGTCCAAAATTTTATAAAAACTTTTGATAGAAGCAATCAAAACGCAATCGAAGATATATGGGCCTTTTTCGAATTTTACCCTTGTCTGGTATTGGCGAATTTGTACTGGATTTAAATCCCTTGACATTGAGCTTGTGAATCATGAGCTGAAACAAAGATCATTAAATCTAGTATAGCATTTTTGTAAACCCTCAGCTAATGTAAAAATGGGAAAAGGCCTGATTGTAAGCGTTTCGTTGCCGATTCGCGTTAGGAAAACAAGAAATTAGTGGAGGAGAGAGAATACGTAACGAGCCCATTTTAGTTTAGTAAGCCCCAAAAGCCCCTGCCCCCACACTCTAAGTCTAAGTGCGAAATTGTAATTGTAAGCCAGAGTGAATGTGTCGCGGAGTGAGTGTTTTTATCGAGTGTGAGTGCGAGCGGAGTGCCTGTTCAATGTGATCGTTTAGCAAAAATTAACTATAAACACTTTAGCCCCTAGAGACCTAAGCAAAAAACACACCTACACCTACATATTTTATTTGTATTATATTTATGCATACGCGCATATGTAACAAGCAAATTGCCACAGCACACGAATTCAATTAGCCCCAACATGAACAGCAATACCTATTTGTAACTGTAGTCTAACTGATAAATCTAAAAATTGAGATCTAATTTACGTTAACATGGCCATAGAAAAGCGTCCGAGCCACGGCTTTTTGTAATTTGTATCTTTCGTAGACAGCCCTGACTTTTGCCAGCCATCAAACGCATTTCAAACTAAAATGAGTAAACCTACATATTTATATTTATTTTTGATTTTTTATCAGTTTTTATATATTGTATTAAAACAAATGGAAAAAGAAAAAATACAAAAGTAACAAAGAAATCGGGTTGGTGTTTTAATGGATTGGGGTTGCTTAAAATTCGAATTCATAAGTAAATAATTTTTAAGCATGTCTCCCGGCAAAAAGTTTTTTGAAACATTGGTCCGTTACAAATGAATAGAGTTGCCAAATATCTAAAAATTTACCAGCGCTAGATGTCGCTGATAAACCTATGCAGAAAATGTGTGTAAAACCCATGTAAAATTCTCACATCATATTGCTACAGAGATATTTTTTCTACATGACGGGGATTCTTTAAACCGGAGCGGACTAGCAACAGCGAGGAACCCAGGTCAAACAGAAAACAAAACGGGCAACAACAAAGGGGACGCACCATGATTTATCGGTACGGCAATAGACATTGGACCCGATCCCGTGAGCTGGAAAATGCTGTGACCACCACGGGCTATAAAAGAACGGGGCAAGCGCTGCTCAACCCGGAGTAATAGTACGGTACTTAAAGCGGGTGCGTGTACGCAAACCAATAGGGAAGTAAAGTCAAGTGCCGATTGCCCGAGGGTCCATATCGCTAAGTCGAGAGGCCGAGCGACGAGGAGTCTACAAGACAAAGATCCAACGGTGATAGGTCGTTGTTAAATCGAACCGAAGAAGTCGTTGGGTGGAGTCTGGTTATAAAGGTGGCGATACACCGTGCCTGCCCTAGTAGGGAGGTTCGCTTAACATTCAAAAAATCTTTGGAGCCTTCAAGCCGCATCAGAGTAGAAGTAGCAGTGAAGTAGCTATAAGGCCATGGATATAAATATACTAGTACGATCCCAATCAACCCTTTCTTTATCCTTCAGTCTCCAATGTAAATTTGGATTTTCATTTTTGTGAGCTTGTGACTAAGTCCTGTCCTGGAAATCCTGCTCTAATTGGCAGACTTCCGGCAGCCTGTCAAACATCCTTGCAGATAAACCCAAAGACCAACTAGAAAAACTTCTAAGAGTGAGTTGAGTTTTTTATTCCAACAGTTTTTCCTTGATGCTTTATGTAAATGATGTTGAATTACGCAAATATTTACATTATTTTCCTCGCCATAGGTTACTTTTTCTGCGCTCAGATAATTATTTATTCAATGCGATTGTTGCCTTTCGTTTGAATTGAATCGAATGCTTCTCATTTGATTTAAGCATAATTCAATTATTTCCGTTTAATTTTCAACAAATACTTGAACGGAGGGCATTAAAATAAAAGTTGAAAATCAGCCAAATCAAAAAGCCAGATAGTTCCTTGGCACTTGTTTTAATCTTTTCGACTTTTTGAACTTTAATTTCTTCTCAAAGTTGGCTTTGGAGTAGGGTTTCTTTAAACGGAATATATGATTTTCACAGACGTATTCCCTTTTACTTCAAATTCCTATTTCGATCAAAGCAAAGAATGTATTAAGTTCTTTAAATAATCATCTAACCTGCTTCGTAAAAATTCTATTAGATTCAAATTCACAAAATTCAAATTCCCCGTGCATACCACTCCGGCTGTGGGGCAGCGAGCTGGACATGGGCTACCTGGTGATGCTCCGCGACCTGGGGCCGCTGGCCTACTTCGAGGGCCTGCTGACCCTGTAGGGAAACGAGGCAGACATGTGGAGCAACATGTGTATCGCCATCGAGGACCTGTCCGCCGTCAGTTTTCAGTTGGTGCGAGCACAGGGCGAGGCGGCGCTGGCGCCGACGCCCCGGATCACAGGATTGCGGCAGGCGTTGATGCCGATGTTAAAGAAGACCGGAATGATTTTGAAGGAGATGGAGGTGCCATCTCCTTCAAAATCACGCCGGTCTTTTTTAATATCGGCATCAATGAGAAGGCCAGCTTTGCAGAGACGCTGGGTCAAACGCGGGAGCAGCACCGCTCCAACTGGGACAACTATCTCCGCCTGAGCCAGTACTTCGGGCGCTACCGGAAGCTGGGCCTCGGCTCCGTCGACGCCGGCGAGTCGCTGCAGTCGTTCCTCGGCTTCATGGAGCAGCAGCTGCCTCCAAGAACGTCAAGTGGTTCACCTCCTGCAAGAGCGCCAAGGATCGCACCGGCATGGCGGTGACCCTGAAGCAGTGTCGAGTCCTGGTCCGAGAGTTCCAGCTGCCCGCCAAGCACGTGCCCTACGCGCTCAGTACGATGCGAAGTGAGAGAACAATTGTCCATTCCAAGGGAATGGACAACGTACTCAAGAATATTGGAAAACGGAAGTATGAAAAATAATACTAAAGTGATTGTAATAAAAAAATCAATTTAAATTGTATTTATTAAATGTAAATATTAATTGTAATTTTTGTAAAGTGTGGAACGCAGTGAAGGAGACATTTCCGACCCTATAAAGTACATATATTCTTGATCAGGATCGCCTCCTGAGTTGATATAAGCATGTCTCTCAGTTTTAAATATATCGAATTGAAACTTTGCACACACCCTTCTTTTCTTTGCACGCAGTATTAAAGTCGGAACGGCCGGCATGGGCCGACTATATCCTATAGCTGCCATATAACTGAACGATCGGAAATGCCATAACTTTGGTTTTGTAAAGTTAGGAAGTCCATCTGTCCGTCCATCCGTTTCTACGCAAACTAGTCCCTCAGTCTTAAAGCTATCTGCTTGCAACTTTTCCAAAAGTTGTCTTTCTATTGCAGGTAGTATATAAGTCGGAACAAGACAGATCGGGCGACTGTATCATATAGCTGCCATATAACTGAATGATCGGAAATGCCATAACTTTGGTGTTTTTAAAGTTAGGAAGTTGGGATTTTCTATGGGTTTTATTTTTGGCCAATCAATCCGACCTACCAAATTTCATAAGGATCGGCCGACTATATCCTATAGCCGCCATATAACTGAATGATTGGAAATGCCATAACTTTGGTGTTTTTAAAGTTAGGAAGTTGGGATTTTCTATGGGTTTTATATTTGCCCAATCAATCCGACCTACCAATTTTGCGAGTTTTTTGAGTTTTTCCCCTATATTTCATATAATGTTCAGTGAGAAGCGCACTCCAAAAGATTAAATTTTTTATTCTTTTCGCTAGGGTTCACCTAAAGTTAATTTCAGCAGACTGGTATTTTTTCGTCGATCTGAGTACCAACGTGAAAAAAAGGCCCGACGAAAAGTGAACGCCAGCTGTTTGCCTGTCGCTCTCTCTCATGACTGGCGTAAGGTTTTCGTCGATCTGGGTATTAGGTTTAAAACAAAAAAATAAAAAATGTATGGCCCGACGGCAGTTGAAATTGAATGTGCGGAGCTTAGATGTTATAGAAAATATTTCTATATTAAGGAAAATATTTCCATTTACTTTATTCAACAAAATATTTCTATATTTTAGAAAACGTTTCTATTTTTTAGGGTTAATTTGAGAAAATTTTTCTATTATTTAGGGTAAATAATTTTTTTCTCATTTTAAGAAAAAAAATTTTAAAAACAAAAATTACCAAAATATAGAAATTCTTTTTTGGATTTAGGGCGATTTTAGTTTATGGCGACAATTTCTATATTTGAGACAGACTTTCTTGATTCAAGAAAAGTTTTCTTGTTTTGAGGAACAAATTGCTTGAAAATATAAATTTTTTTCTTGGATTTAGAAAAAATAAAGTTTAATGGCGAATTTATAAAATTTAGGATTCATTTTGCTTTGAGTGTAGCCGCACGTTTGCGTATCAAGCAAGGAACATAAAAACAGGTCGTCACAACATAACATATTTAAAAAAGTCTTAATTTTAATAGATACAAAAGGTATTTGGACGTATAATAAGAATGAGTTAATCGGAACGCTAAATGGCCATTTTTATTTCACATCATCTTCAACAATTTTCTGCGATTAACTAACAATAACAATAGGTGTTTTTATCTCCTTCTGAGGATTCATAGCACTAATTCTCTGCGTTTTCTTTAGTTAATTCTTCAATATGATCGAACTCTTCTTTCTCTTCAATATCCTCTTCTTCCGCTAAGTCCGACAGTTGATGCTCCTGGGCGTCCAACTCGTCCTGCAAGGCCTCTAATTCCTCATCGGTGTCTTCAGGGACTCCTCCAGAGCCCGGCTTAATGGTGAAGTTTAACTTGTTTAGCGAACTCTCCAGAGTAGTCACACGGGCCAGTAGCATCTCCAATCGCTTATCGATGTCATCAAAACCGTGGGTCACTCGTTCCGTTGCGTTTTGCGTCTGCAAGGCGGAGCTTGTGGTTGGCTTCTCCGATGATTTTGAAGAAGACATTATCAAATTTTTTAAATCCTTTTTCAAAGAGTTATACTTTTTGTTGATCGAATTCTTGTATACTTCAACTTACATATATGAAACCGTAAGCGTAAATACCTAAGCCTTCTATATTGGAACGCTTTCCATCCGAAGGAAAAAAAGTCACTATATTCCATATATTTGTTAACTGCTTGTTACTCAAATGGTGTTTTATGACATATCGTTCAATCAAAATTTAATCCCGGCGTCCCATAAATTTTTAGCTAAGGTTTTGAAATAATACGAAGATATTCCTAATAAAAGGTTATTTGCAGCTTGCAACTATATTTGCATGTAGATCTGTTGTCAGCAAAGCAATTTTAATTATGAAGCAAAAATGCAATGTGATAAAATTTTCAACTGATTTTTTCCAAATTTGCATTATAGGACAAAAGATTGAAAGATATATGTAGTTGAATCCTACCCGTTACGTTGTTAAGCAGTATTTGGATTTTAATGCGTATAATAAACGCAATCCGCACTACGACTGCTTGTGAGCTTGAAAATATAAGAAAAAGAAACTTCGCCGTCTATAGTCCGCGATTTAGGACTTTTGTTATTCAAAAATTAAAAACTCTATTTTTGTGTGTATCATTGCACATGAATCACGAAATATAAAGATTTCACGGTTTTTTTTGGTCGCTTTACTTTCTTAAGAAATTTTCACACTTTGATAATTTACTCCAACTTCACTGCGAATGTGGATTATTCTTAATGGGCCACAATTCAGAAGAAATAAATTCGGGGCGTTCGATCTTGGTATGTATAAGTACTGTGGTAATCAAATTAAAAAGTTGTATATTTCCATGAGTTCCATGCTTCGATAAGTCCCCAAAAAAAAGTCTGAATGATTAATTTTCTATATGAATCAGAACGGTTTCTCAATGTTTTTCTTTTTTTTGTAATGTTCTTTATTTACTTGCTTTTTGTGGGATGTTCCTAAGGCAATAAATATATTTTTAGATTCAAGACAAGATTTTTATTTTTAGAATTAAAACTTTTATGTTTCCAATTTATGTACCAAATTCGGAAATATTTCTTTCTATGTACCAAAAATATGCATTCATTAACAAAGCCGGCTATTTGGAGAGCGCGGGAACTCCGAGATCGAGGCAAAACGAAACAGTTCCGAGATCTCAGGCGCCGCTCCATCCGTCGGAATAAATGGCTCTCTGCATATCTTTGGGTGCGCGGGGAGCTTGTGGTGGCTTTTTCAGTGAGTGCGAGAGCGGCGTACGGTAAACAACTGCTGCCAACGCAACGTGAAAAATAAACGGCTGAAAAGAAAATTTCGAAACGTAAACCTGGAGCCCCTTGTGCTCACGAAAATATATCTATGAGATGCGCGAATCTTGATCCATTGCAAAAAATTTGAATTTGAATAATTACGCAAGGCGAGGCGCACGTGAGTGTTGTCGTGAGATGAAATGAAAAGTGGTCGAGGCGAAAGTGGAAATTGAAGGCAATTTTCTTGTGATTACTGTGATGAGTAACAAATTGTATCAAGTGAAAGACAAACAGATAAGCCTATCAGCAATCTTTCCGCTCGCTATCGGTCGTTCCCGGTTCTGCGTAAGTTCCATTAGATAAAACATTTAAATTTCAAAAATAAACATTCGAAATGAGACAAACTTTTTCTGTGTTTCACAATTCTTCTGGCCAAGTTAACGTTTTACTTTTAAAGTCAACATCTTCCAGCGCTCTTCATCTTTTATTTGCCCCTTGTGTTTACAGCTGTTCGATGAAAACCAGTTTGCCATCGACTAGCTAGCTAATGTTTCTAACGATATTAGCTTTTTGGGCCGCATCAAACCACTGAAAGTCTAGTCTTCTAGCTGCAACAGTTGCTGGTGGTTGAAGGTTGCTGAAGCCCGGTGTCTTGCCTCGTTACGCGTGCAATTACCTGTCACCAGTCAGCTCAACAACAGTTGTCAGCTGTATGATCTGTTAGAGATGACTAAAAATAAATAAAAGTTTTATAATCATAATTGAAAAAGTAAAGAATGGAAACAATTTAGCACCTGCTGAAATGCCTAATAGCAACGTTTCAAAAGCCAGTTGTTCCGACTTGAAGGTATTTTTTTTACATATCACTGGGCAACAGTCTTGTAGGTGCAATATTATGTTAAAATAGGGTGTTCTAAGGACAACTACACTACACCGTGTGGAATTCCAGAGTACAACAAGTTCTGTTCATTATGAGATCCCTTTAGTAATTGGTTATTCTATTTAAAATTCAGCATTTTAAAACGAATTCATTTTGGAAATTCTAATATTTAAGTGACCATTGGTTTGAACACAATAATGGTTTTGATACATACTTTGTAGCAGTAAGCGAATATTATTGGGGGAAAAATGGAATATGTCTATAAAAGGATCGTCACTATGAACTAAAAAGTAAAAAAAAATTCGCACGCGCGAATTATACCACATAGCAGAGCAAGGTTTCGATCCTCGGACCTCTGGGTTATGGGCCCAGCACGCTTCCACTGCGCCACTCTGCTTGCGTGAATACCATAAGGTCTACAGATGGGGTAAGTACCAATCATAAGCTCACACTCCTTTACCGACGAAAGTACATTGGTTTTCAATTAATTGCTAAAACATATCCTCGTTATCTTTGCCAGAAACATCGATAAAGCATCGCATTTGATTGTTCTAAATCACTGATTTAGTAAAAGTAAATAATTTTTCTGATTAAAGTGCTTTAATGCACTTTATTTCTTAAATATCAGGGTTGCCTAAAGGAACCTGATAAAGTATATAAAAATATTATCGTTTTATGTTTAAAAAATGCATGCTTTTCAAACAATCCATACTTAGACAAGGTTTCTTCGCCTTTATTTTGATTATAATTGAAAATCCTTAATAACAATTGAGAACTATTCTTTTATCAAAAAAAATACGATTTTTATTATCTCGGATAGACTGACAGTAGCGTTTTGTCTTCTCCATAAGTCAAACTTCAACAGGTATTTTTAATTTAATATTGCGAATGATTGGCCATTAAATTTATGGTTATATAGTTCGGTGCTGCAGTCGAACTTTTACCTAATGGCGCAAAAGGAAATTATATAAAATATATATACATATATTTTAAAATCTATACGTTATTATTGTTCAAATTATTTTAGAAGCACCATCGTTACAGTTTATAAACTGCTTTATGGACATACCCTTGCAGCGGTAACAGAGTGAATGTTTAAGCAGTGCACTGTAATTGAAAACATATATATTTTTGTCGGTAAGGAAGTGAAGATTTTTCGTTTGTACTTACCCAATGTCTAGATGTATCGACACCCAAGCAAGCAGAGTGGCGCAGTGGAAGCGTGCTGGGCCCATAACCCAGAGGTCCGAGGATCGAAACCTTGCTCTGCTATGTGATAGTAAATTCGCACGAGCGTTTTTTTTTATTTTTTTTATAAGTATTTATTTGTATCCTTCAACCAAAAAAAGTGCGTTTAGCGAGATTGGCTCTAATTTTACTACGAAATAGTCTTAAAAACTTCCAGTTTTATTTTTCCAATGATAATAAGTAGTTTTTCAAATCATTATATTGCCACGAGAGAGTCTTGTTGCAAAGTTTACAAATGCATAACGAAATCCATAATTAACATTAACATTAATAAAAATCCTAAGAAATCATTTGAGCATTCCCCATCGAAATAAACGTTAATTTTGGGATATCTAACCTACTGCATTGTTTAACTTTATTCAGTTGTTTTAGTATAAAAGTACAAAATATCAGCTAAGCTACTAAGGAATTCACTAAAACTAAGGCGAAGAATTGTCCACCGCTTTGAGCACTCTCTTTACGTATATCAGTAATCTTCGTCGCAGAAGCAACCGTCCCGCGAGTTCTCCACAATCCAGTCCAGATATTTCGTAACTCGAGTATAAACGCCGGGATAATTGGGTCTGGCGCAACCATTACCCCATGACACGATTCCAATCTGTTCGAAGCGTTTGTCATCTGGCCGGAGACGCACCAGCGGACCGCCGGAGTCGCCCTGACAACTGTCGCGCCCTCCAACGCCCGGATAGCCCGAGCACATCATGTTCTTTGTGATCATTTTCTGGGTGTAGTTTGTCTGGGCCACACATTCGTCGTTGTCGAGGACGGGGACTTCGACCTCCTGCAGCAGACAAGAGGGCTTGCCGTCCTCCTTGAGGGTGCCCCAACCTGTGGCTATGGCCTTTGTGCCGACAAACAGATCCTGACGCTGTTCCACGCGGGGCAGGCAGATCGGTCGGATAAAACTGGTGATCGGCACCCGATCATTCAGTCGCAGCAGGGCTATGTCGTTGTCGAAGTTCGAGAAGCTGAACTTCTGGCTAAAGGCGCGCAGCACGAAGCGGGTTTCCGGGCGCTCCTTGTCGTTACAGCGGTCGTGCTCCCCGAAGGTCACCTTGATCATGAACCACATGAACCCTTTGACGCAGTGCGCCGCCGTCAGCACGTAGCGATCGTTGATCAGCGTCCCGCCACAGTAGAACCTGTTGAAGTAGCTCAGCCGCGCCATCCACGGATACTCGCTCACGCCCGTCGTCGTCCCGCCCACAATCCTCGACTCGTCGTTGCGCTCGCCGCATCTGTCGAAAAATATAAAGAATATCAGAGATCCGTTAGGCATTATAAAACATTTATCGAATGTCTTAAGGGAATTAATTCTTTTTTGAAAACTGTGTCATTAAAGGTGATCCTATAGCGAACATTGCAAATGCCAGTTCTTACTATTCTAATTTAAAAGATCCTCAAAATGAGAAAATGTGCACTTTTATATTTAATTTTATACCCAAACTAAGTATATTGAACTCAAAGTAAAAATGTTGTATTTGTTTGTCAAAAAAACTCAGATCGAGTGAATGTATTTGTATAATTAGGTCAGTGCAAAATTATTTTTTAATGGAATGGTTATGCTGCACTATATTAAAACATGCACATTTTTTAAAACTTAATAAACAGTTTTTTATTTTCTAAAGTATCTAAAATGATCTGCAAATTATCAAAGTTATTAACGTAAAATTAAGTTCTTTGTTTATTACAGAGAACTAATAAATATGTAAGCGTATTACAAAAAAACTTGTGACATGTCAATGTGAAAAATGATAAAGTTCAATGTTTAATGCCACCTCGTTGGAAAGGCATTTGCGACGTTTATTCCCTCCGCGAGAAAAAAATAGATGGATTGGGTCAAAGGGTGCCAGTGCTTGCGATCTCTCCCGATCGGGGAGTTCAGAGTTCAACAACCCCATCATAAAGAAAGTGTCAAAGTGCTTTATGGACGGACATAAAACAAATGAGCGATTTTTGCAGATTTTATGGCTGCCATCTGCAGAGGCACGACCACAACACGTTACATTAAACAGGTTTTTAATTACCCCTGGACAACAACAGAACACCGCATGCAGCCAAAATAAAAATCTTCCACCAAGTCGGAAAGGAAGCTTAACAAGTTATCTCTCTTTTCATTTAATTTGGCCAGGCCACACAATCAATCGATCCGGCCGCAACAAGTATTTGGGATTCAGATTTGGTGTGTGTTTAATCGTGTCATTGCCCCAAAATGGTGGTCGGCCTGGTCGACAGGCGTCCCGAAACAAAGAAGCGAAATGTGCGACGACGACCCACTTAGGAGTCGGCGAAGACCGGGTAAGACGGCCAAAGCCAAAACCCGAAGAACACGGCGACGGAGACGGCATTCCCCTGCCTCCCTCGCAGACATTAATTTAATGTGACATGACGCATTGAACGTACGCCTTTTACAGTATCTGCCATACTCATCTTTATCTGCTGGGTGCACAAACACACACGTTCTTAAAAGCCAAACACAGAGTGTTATCAAATCATATGCAAATCAGTTTCTTTTCTTCGTTCAAATGCAAAAAAAAAGTAAAAATTAAATAGAAAAGAAACTGGTTTTAGGCCTTCATTAACAAATAGAAGAACGGCGCGGCTATCGTCTCCAAGTAAACTTATGGCTTTTAGAGATTTTCAAAGACATACAGACTTAAGGGCGTTTTATTAAAAATAAATTGTATAATTTAAGTTACAAATATCCCTTTCTAGCCTAGTTCCCTATTGTTAGCCTCCCAGGAACTTAACTCCCTTCAGAATCAGTTCCCTTTTGTTGTCAGTTTTTCTGCCGACTCTATAAATACCCTTGGGTGTTTGCTTATGCCAAAAGCCAAGTGCCGAAAGCCAAAGTTGAATTCCCAATTGGTAATGCAATTTGTTTAATGGCCACACAAGAATGCATTTCGAATGCAATTCTTCAGAGAGAACCTGACTTTGAGGTCATGTTGGGAATTGGCTTTTCAAAACGGGTAAAAAATGGACAGAAGAATCTTTTGGGACAAGATGAATGTGTAAAAAAATGTTTAAGGCGTTCCCTCTGCTGATTTAAAGGACTGTAGCCTATTACTCTTTGAGCTGGAGGACATGGATTCTATTAATAATTAGACGCGTGTCATTAATTTTAAAAGGTTAATTTAAGTTAATAAAGAAATATTAACGAAGGAAAATTTCAATGTTATGTAAAAAATTCGCAAAATATATTTCATACGTCGTTATTAACCAAATTATTACTTATAAAAATAACCGTTTTTCAAATCGTATTTGCAAAGCGAATAATAATAAAAGAATATTTAATTTAAGAAGGTATAATCTTAACTTTTTAGAAAATCTGATAATTTCGAATAATTAGATACTTTTCCGTTTCATTTCCTTTCCATGGAAGTGGATAGAGAATTTATTAACTCAAAGGAGTTGGGGACAGGGATATATATCCGATTGCGTGTCTAAAATCTATCTGTAACTTTAACTGTTTGTGCCATTTGGGTGCCGTGACAATGACGACGCCAGAGTTGTTTATCACTTCTTCGGCCGTCTAACTGGAAGTTGTCATCATGGCCATGACAGCTTTTGTATCTCAGCGTGCGTGCATCGTCGTAACTTTTGTATCTGTGTGTCTCGGGGGACCAACTCACCTGCAGGAACATGTCGGCGATGTTTGGTTCTGAGCTGCCGGCGAATTATTGCGATTGAAGACACCGAACCAATTCTTGATCGGATTTTGCCGGAATACAGGTTTATGGACATTGGCATCCGAAGAGGAAGCGTTGACGGCTCCGATTTTCAGCTTCTTTGCCTGATGGTGGGCTGCACCCAAGGCTTGATATTTGCCCGGAATGGAGGATAAAGATGATGTTGCTGTTGATGTTGATGTTGCTGGTGTCGCTGATGCTGCTGGGGTTTCTGCTGTTGCTGCTGCTGCTGTCGTTGATGTTGCTGCTGTGGCCAGGCAGGATGCAACGGCCAGCACGAGCTGCCAGTGACGTAAGTGGAGCATCATCTTCTTCTGCCCGCTGGTTATGCAATTCAATGCATGTAAGCTTAATGAGCCTTTTGGTCGTCGTAGCGGTCTCGACGAACGGTGCCGTTATCGGAATATATTTAGATTCACGTTCTGCTTGTTCTTCTGCGGGGGATTTTTCGAAATCTCCGTTCGCACACACCACTTGTTAATTATGTAAATCAAACACGGTTTCTTTCAGTCTTATTGTTGTTGCACTAATTGAACCATTTCACATGACTGCAAATTGTCAACAAGTCGCGCCCTAATCCCAGCGAATTTCTCGATCGGTTTATTTGCTCTTCGCTATATGGTTTGCTTTGGTTAGTTCGCACCACCGCGCACGCGAAAGTCTGCAAGCCGACTGATACGAGGTGCTGGCCCAGAAGAGCGACTAAGCCATTTTTCCAAGGCCCCCAAAACAGCGCAGTCGACGGCGACGCTGGCAGCACTGGCGCCGCCGTTGGGGCAAAGAAAGTTGCGCATGCGCAGCGCAGCGTGCGGTGGCAGCGACGTCGGCTGCGTAGAACACAGAGGAACGGCAGAGCGTACACAGTAAAAAATATATTAAATTGGCCCGACGAATCAATCAGTATTGGAAAAGGTTTGGTTGTTTTTTCTATAATGTTTTTTTTTATACTAGAAAAAAAGATCGTAAACTGGGAATTTAGGAGTCACAGGAAATTCACTTATTTTGAATGCATACAAATTTATCCCAGATTTACGAGCGCTTAAATCTAAGTTTCTCTAACAATATAGTTTGGTTTTATGCGAATTTGTTTATCCGTTGTATATTTTAAAAAATTGAAAATTATTTTTGCTTAAATCAGCTAAGATTTATTAAAAAATTCGAAACACAAGTAATACATTTTTTTTTAAATATGTGAAATACAAAACGAAATGGCAAACTCATAATTTGAATTTAAGGTATTAATTTTTGGATTTTCGAGCAGTGTCGAGAGTAAGTCAGATCGAAGAGAGCCGGCGTATTTTTGTTGGCTCCCCTTCAATCCCCTTGACTTCTCAATATGCTAATGTGACAGTTTGCTTTGACTAAGATATTTTTTCTTTTTTTTTTTGGATGGAGTGTGTGCGTTGGGAGTTCTTGGTTCTTCCTCTTTCCTTCTGTCGCCGACATCGTCTGTTTAACGTTTGTTTATTATGCTCGCAACGTCAATACACCGTGAACATTTTAATTGGGAATTGATTTAGACATTAACCACAAATAACCTGTTTAATAACGGAACAACCCTATAAATACATTAGAAATGTAGAAAATCGAGAAAATAGGTACATCTTCAACATGGACAGTATTCTTAAAATTGTATTTATTTTATTGTATTGGTTTAATATTATAAAAGTCAATATAAAAATACATATTTCAGTCAAAAATACTTGTGTTTTTAAATGATTTTTATAATTATATAAGAAACTTTTGCTAACGAAATTATAAAGAAATTGGTATCAGTGCAATGCTAGCAAATATTTTCTAACGGCTCGCAAACACTTACAAAGTAGAAGTGGAAACAAAAGTTCACTCCCCACAGCCAGCACAAACATCCTTTAAGATCGGCAAATATAGTCTTAAAATATAAGGTGGGCGAAAGAGAGATTTAAATTATATATTTCTGATCGGAATAATATACACCCAAGAGCCCACACACTGCCACTCTGACTCGTGGTATTTAACTTTATTTTTTTATCACTCGAACCCTTTCATCTTTTCCGACGCCTTTTCACTAGCCCAGGGAAAGAGAGTGGTAAATCCAACTTATTTCGCATTTTCATGTTCATTTGCCGTAGCATGAATTAACAAAAAAAGAAAATCGGATAATTTCAGATTTTGCATTTGCTCAACGACCGATGTTTAATTTAAATTACTTTAAATGTTTCAACTGAACTCGTCTACAACTGCTGACCCAATTAAGTAAAATGGAAATTCATTAAAAATGTCGCACGTCAAATCACTTTATTGTGTGTTTTGGTAATGTATCGAGTGCACGCTGACATTCCTTTTGAATTATGAATCGTTTAATTGTCATTAAATCGATTAAAGTCACTGTACAGATGGTAAAATGAATGTCATATGCAAAATGGAAAATATATTTTCAGATAAGTGAAGTGGAAAACGTATTTAAATGCTGGTTTCATAGTTGACTGACATATAATTAATAATGAGAATAAAGTTTAAGCCCTGATTACTTCATTTCTTACTATAATTTTTTTGAATTCCTAAGCTATTGTCTTTGAATTGCAGTTTAACAACCTATTGCGGCACTCCCTATTACTTCCTGCCATGTTCTTCACCCATTCCAAGTGCAATTTTCTTGATTTCCATACACACACCAGACAATCATTCACTTAAAATTACTCGCTTAAGCAAAAACCCAACAATCCATGCCGAAAAAAGAAAAGTAATCTCCATGAGAGGGGCGAAGTCAATGGGTTCCTTATTAATTGAAAGCATGCAAATTTCGCCTCTTCTAATTTTTCAAATTTCCATTGCTTTCTTTTTGGGCAGCAGACACTCGTAATCTTTAATTGGAGGGAAGCCAACTGAGACACCTCGAGAGGGGCGAAAGGTTAGAAACCCAGGGGACCAGAAAGCGATTCCCTGACATGCGAGCCAGAGTTTCGAATCCGTGACGACAATCATTGCATCACAAAGATTAGCAGACATTATTGGGAGTAGCCAAGCAAGATGAGTGCCGCCGGCTGGCTGGATATGAATGCAGCTCTTCAGAACCTCAACTCTCCGCCGGAGTCCTCCCAAAACCCCAGAAGAAAACGGAGGAGCAGCCATGCCGGACGCAGTGCCTCCACGGCCGGAATTCATGGGCGGGGCAGCATTGGTAGCATAAGTTCTGGAATCTTCAAGGCATTCCGAGAGCGGTTTCTGAGCAGCGATGACTCTGGGGATTATCGGAAATTAAGGCAACGAGATGCGGAATCCGGGCGAATGGGAGCCAATGGAACCAGTTCCACCGACAGTTCTGGAGAGGATGAGGAGCCCAGCAGCAGCAGTAGTGTGGAGGACCTTTTCGCGAACGAAGCGGAACGTCGCAAATGGCAGAGGAAAAATTCGGAGCATAGACGCCGTGCAGCTAGAAAAAAGGTTAGTGGTCTTGCTAAACTTTTCAACATATATTATTAGAACATATTTTTTTTGGATAAATTAAAAATTTAATCTTAAAATAAGATAGTTCGGCTTTTCGGTGAAATTTGAGTTTTTGACTCAGAAAAAAAGTTTTAAAAAGTTTATTCTATTTTTAAATCGTTAATTAAGTTTTTCATCTGTTTTTATGCATATTTTCCCTTTTTCCGAGTTTTGGTAAGCCAATTTCGACAAAGACTCTATGAACTACTAATATTTTTCAACTTTCTCATAAAGAGCTTCAGGCTATAACAAGTTTTTTAAGAGCAGTTGCCTTATTTTGTTTACATTTAAAAATGAACGCATAAAAATCTAAATTAATTTTAATACTAATATTATCTATGTATCAAGTCTATTTAAATTTGAAATTGTTCAGCCTTTTATACCTGCTGCGAAATATTTTTTCACATATACATATGCTTATTAAAACATTTATTTTGAGTTAAGTTCTTAAAGAACTCTCCCATATATGATTCATGGTTACAATAATTTATTAGTTATTGTTTCATCATCTTAGTATCCTATAGTATTACAATTTATTATTAGTTTCAATAAAACCACACAGATAAGTTTAAAAGTTTGGATCTAGCTCATTATGCTTTTAAACAGCTTCAAAAGAAAGCTTAAATTAACTGCTTTGCATTTTGATATTGCTGTCATCTAATTTTTGGTATTCCGATCAGGTCTTCTGCTACCACAGTTACGTGTGCGGCTTTATCAGACTTTGATTGGATTCCGAAATTGGTTCACTCTCAGCACGAACTGTCGCATGGAAAACTATAAGCATTCGATTTTCAGTTTCGTTTTCGTTCACTGACGCGGCTCATTTGCATTAAATTAAATCTAATTGGTATATTAGATAATTACATTAATTGCTTGGGTGTGGTCAAGCTGTAATGGGGAGCTATTTGATAACTACATATTTAATGAGGAGTCATTTAACAATGGGGTTACTGGACGATACGCTCTGTTTCTGAGGTATGTGATTTCACTTTCGTTTTCTGCAAGTCAGGTTATTTTACAAAAAACATTCTCAGGTATTTATTGGCAAATTAGGTAATATAAATTAAATCATTTATAAATGATCATTTATATTATTTTTATTTTTGCGCCTTAACTGTTTGAAATATTTAAAAAAATGGTTAGATCTAAATTAATCGAGTGGTATGTCAAATTAACTTTAGTTTTTAGTTTATAGTTCCTGTTTTATTTTATTCAGCTTTCTTTAAATTCAAATTTTAAAAGACGAATTTGCTTCATTTCTGAGTATATATGAGCAACTTTTTATTAACTTCATATCACGCTTTATATATAAAAGAAGCGTAAATGTTTTAATCATGCTGATATTTGCTATTATACCAAAATTAAGTGCACTTGAAAAACACATTTTTAAAATCTTATCTTTTTTAAATTTTGTCTCAAATTTCTTTATATTTTTTAAAACTATTAAAATATTTATGATACAAGAAGAAATATGTAGGGCATACCAAACATAAGTAAATTTAGTAAATAGCAAAAGTCTAAAGGTGACATTGTCAAATTGGATTTTCCAAATTTAAATTTAGTCCGCTCCACTGTGCGATTTTTTTCTCTTGAACAGCTGAACTGAAAGCTTTCAATTTGTTTACAAACAACCGGCTAACAGCTGATGCACTCTCTTGCTCACTCTCAGTTTGCTTTCTTCAGTTTCTCACTCACTTCTCTCTTGAGTGACTTTCCCACCGGACTTTCCATTTGGCTCAAATCGCAGCATCTGACTCTAAGCGACTTCGGTTTGATTGCCCGTCCAGTTTTGGTCTGGCGAGGATTTCGGCTTATCGTTTTTGTACTACGTTCTTCTAGGATTTTCTTTTCACTTGTTTCTGACCATTTCCTGGTACAGTGGACTTTAAAGCCGCAGCCGCTTAAAGTTGCGCGCCCTTTTGGCCTATGTTTTGTTTGTTTGTTGGCATTGCTCAGCCGCACTGTGTGCCGAGTGTGCGAGAGAGGGAAGATTTTGGGATGCTAGTTTTATTTTTATGCTGCTCCTGACTCGCTTGACTGCACATCCTGTTCGACCTGTTTTCCCATTTTGGCTTCGCGGCCATGTTCTTTTTTCGTTGCGAATTATTCAGCTAGGCGTATTTATTTTAAAGATTCACAAGACAAATTTTATTTTGTAAAGCAAAACAAAAACTGTACTTTCATCATATGGCCTTCATTGATGTTAAATAAAATCACAAATACATTATAATCATTTTGAAACATCTGTTTTACATTAAAAATGAATAAAATTCAGGGGTAATAATTTTTCCAAGTGGAATCGCAAGAATTTTTCAGCGACGCTCACCGAAACAAAACGAGCGAAAAAATATATAAATAAATGGCCAAAAAATTGTGCGCCAGTGTGTCGCCTGTAGAAAAAAAAAAGCGAATGCAATCAGTAGACCCAGATCTATGACGGGAACTTGGCCCCAACTTTCTCCTCCTCCCAGCTGGTTGGCTCTTTTCCTCCCGGCTGGCCACCTCTTACATAACTCAAACCAGCTTTTTTGCCAGGTGGGGCCCATCCACACATGTGGCCCAATGATTTATGCACGCCACTTAATGCCTTCTTAATTACATTTTATGTTACAACCGAAAAATAATAATATCTTGCTGAAAAACAGCAGACAAGAATGGGAAGGAGGGGCCGAACACAAATCACATTCCTTCAGGGGGCGGAATGGGCGGAAGGACACGTCCCAGCTGCCAACACAATGCGGAAAACGCTTTCACTTTTACCCTCGGTGCAGCTGGTGTCCCTCTATTCCCATTTTCGCCGATTCCCTCGTACCACCGCCATATGCGACTGAAACAAAATCTATTTGGCAATGGCCTTGGGCTTAGGGCTGAAAGGGGGCTTCAGGGTTTTTCTCGGGACAGACGCTCTTGTGTATTCAGTCAACACAAATTTGCGTAGCTCTTTTTGGGGAGCATGGCTTTTTTTCCCCTCTGCAGTTCATTGAAATGTGTGTGACAAGCGAAATACAATTACACCATGAATCCATGTTCATTGTCGGGATGCGTGACGTCAGCTGGGGGATCGGGGCAAATCCTGGGGTGCATTCCAATGCGAACCAATACCCTCTGTTGACAGCGATAGTTGGATTGCATTGCGAGCCCAAGGTGAAAGTTCTGTTACGTGATGTTTGCGATGCTTTCGAGTGAACGGATTTCAGGGGCTTTTTGATACGCAGATGAATGAAAGTGGCCATTTTAGAATGGGATTTAAACAAAAGAATTTACTATAAAATTTGACCGGAAAGTGGGGGACATGCTGAAAGTATTAATGTCAAGATTTTCGTATGATTGCCTTATTATTTTCCATTGAAAACTGAGTAGGCTATTCTAAAATTAATAATAAGGAGGCTGTTATTATCAATGGTCAGACATTTAATTCAATTTTGAATTCGTCATCTACAATTTTGATTTAAGGATATATTTGAATTTGCAGCACGGATAATATTTATATTTTTTCAGTTTTCAAAACGAAATTAGAGTGCAGCTAACTTTAAAAATATGATTCAGGCAACTGGAATGCTTCGTGCCCCAATTCACTCCAAGCTTTATGTATATATTTAAATAGCGATCTGAATAAACCGTGTCTCTCTTATCCGGATACCCCTCTCGCGCCTTGATTACTTTGGGCCAAGCGGAATGTAAGCCGGGTTAGTGCCACGTTTACCCAAGCTGCAAATGACAAAGCCATGGTCCGTGGACACTCCGTGGTCGGTTAAAGCCCGGCCAGGACTGTCAAGAGGTTGCCATTGAACCAGAACAAGGAGCCAAATCCCTTTCGAATGGGGTGCTGGTGTGCTTCTTTTTTGTGCGCCGGACACTTTCGCCGACAGCTCGTGTTAAACAAATTAAACACGTAGCCGTAGCCGGAACAGAAGCAGCCCACAGGCGAGAATCCTTTTTGTCGAATATCAAACTGGGGACCCCGCTGCGGTCGTGGCCATTGTAGCAGAGCCACGCCGCTTGGCCAGAATCGTGTTGTTAACTCGGCCACGTTTTCGTGTTGCCCTACCCTCGGTTTTGCCTGAAAGTCAAATTAGCGTTTCCCTTCGCCACTCGAGGGCCGCGTGAAAAATGCAAATTTCTGTTCTGTTTCGCTGTTCATAATTTGTAGTGGCCCTGACCAGGACGGAAGGTCAAGCCTGGAACAATAATTACACAATTTATAATTCACAAAACAATTGTTTTTGACAAGTGAAATATATTTGTTCGAGCACAGTTGGCTCTCCGGCAAAAAGTTTGCCACTAAATGGGCCGCCCAAGTTTTTAATTGAAATGCCTAAAGTGGGACTCATAGTTTCCTCCCAGTTGAAAGTAAAATGTCGCCAACGGCGGAAAACTGTTGTTGAATAGGGTAACTGGGGACCCTTCAACCCTTCATGGACTCCAGCCGGCTTGGAAAAACCAGCTCTAGAATTTTCCACGTTGCCAAATCACGTTGCCTGGGCAACTAAATAAACAATCTCTAAGGCTACTACACTCGAAAAACATACGTAAAATATATTGATCTGGCCTGATTTCTATTATCTCCATGGGGAGAAACTTTTTTTTTTTAAGTGAAGTATGCAAGAAAATAATAAATATGTAAGCATAGTAGCCCGAAAAATCGTTGTCATGGTTGGGTAACAAACGAGGCTTTAGATATTCCTCATTCGGTTTGTACCAACCGAGCTGTGAAGAACTCCAAACATAGCTCAAGTTTAAAAACTGTTCTATAACTCAAAAATAAGTAGTGAAAAAAAGCCGTGAAAATAATTCAGTGCCTTCAACCCGCCTTGCACAAAATGTCGATCTTCGAACATCCGGACCAGCTGAAGCTGCTGCAGGATCTACTGAATCCCAATCAGAGGCGAGGCGGCATTGACTACAGCAGCAGTGAGGATGAGGACGAGTCCATGGTGGTTCACAAGCTAAGTGAGTAAATAAGAAATTGTTATATTAAGTAATGCTGTTGGATATCGGCATTTGTCATTAGCAACGGCTTGTTGCATTTTTTTTTTTTGACTGGGCGCAATGTTTCTTCATTTCTAAACTTAGATCCTGGGGGCATTGGGCGTAGCAAGGAGCCAGATTCCACCGGCAAGAGTAAAAAGAAACCCAATCCTTTGGCGACTCCTTTGGTGGAGGAGGAAAAAAAGCAGCCGGAGAATCTGGAAGAATGGCAGGAGCAGCAGGAGCGCGAGGATAACGATATACTGGAAACCCGCAAGAGCCCCGAGTATACGATGACCTATCGCCAGGCAGTGGGCACCGAGGACGTCTTCTTGCAGGTCAATATATGGCCAGTTTAAAGAGCACTTAACAGATCAATAACATAGAAAATATTTATACCTAATAGATGGGCAATCGCACCGGCTCCTCTGCCAGCTGTGAAGATCTTATTCTGGAGATTTCCCTGCCGGATGAAGAAATGGCCGCCGACAAAATGTCGCTGAGCCTGCAAGAAACGGAAGTAGATTTGGGTACTGGTTTATACCGCCTCCGGTTGCCGCTTCCCCATTCCGTCGATGTTGACCGATGTCAGGCGAAATATGACAGCGAGCTCAAGAAACTGCGGCTCACTTTGCGCCTGAAACGGGAGCTTGACTACGTTAATTTTTAAAAACATACATTTTCAGTGCCGGTTGTCTCGTACACATTAATTACCCTAAAAAAAAAATATGAACGAATATCTGATACACATTATTTACACTAACCTACTACACATACTACTTCTGGGGAAAAGTCTTAAAATGTTTGTGGATGAAAAAAAAAATATATGTATCCAAATTTTCTGTGCAACGTTTTTGTTTTATTCCTGGTATTGATAAAATAAAATTTTGAAGGCAAAGTTACAAAAAAAATATTATCCCTAGCTTTGCCGATAATTTAGTTTACTACGAAAATAAAAGTAATCTTGAATTCAAATAGGCTAAAAAAAGCATAAAATGTATAAGATGTTTTCGATTGTGTACAATCTCAGCTTTAAACAAAATTCGTGATACCATCCCTAATCCTCAATTCCAAGGCAAATATTTTGACGCTAGAGCATTACCCGAATTTTCCCGCAATTCCAATTCAATTGTCGGCACTTTGGCTTGTTTTGCTCCCAAATTGCGCATACGCCGCATGTGCCTTGCTGCCGGGTCAATCGCAAATTACGCTCAAACGAAGCATGAAGTATTCCTTGGGCGCTTGGGCAGCCTTTATTATGATGCTGTCAAAAATCACTTTGGCTAAATATTTGTCAAGCACAGACACACAAAAGTAAAATACGACAAAACAAAAAAAAGGAGCCAAGAAAAGTTGAAAATCGTGATTTCTACAGACTGATTCGACCTAATAGGCCATGAGTTTCAGGGGCAGGGACTTTTGTTGTAGGCTTCGGGCCACACAATTACTTCCCGCTGGGTCTGCGGCTGCGTTTTGCCTCATTTACCCTGACTGACACTGGCACATTTCAATTTGTGCGCTCCAGGCAAGCTGGGCCCCGATTTTCGCCATCCCGGTCACCGGCAGAGACATGATAAAGTGTCATCCTGCTCACCAAAAAAATATATAAGTTAAAGTTCACACGGGCACACAAGAAGCCGAAAAAAAGAAAAAAACTCACAAGTTTTGGGCAGCTGGCAGTGCGTGCCTCGGCTGGCGAACTAGTTTTGGATCAGGGATCCGGGGAGACGCAGACCTTTTCTTCCTTCTTATTTTCCTAATGAAAGTTTTCCACAGGACTGTGATGATAAATCGTCTGACAAGGACTCGGCTGTCCACGGAAAACTTTCAATTTAATTTAAATGCCCGAGTCTCGTGGCCAGCGTGGTGGAAACGGAAAGTGAATTACAGCAAATTAGGCAGAGAGTTTTCAAGAAACAGCTTATTATAACAAGGCTTACTCTAAGTTAAATGATGACAAAGGTATGGTTGACAAAAAAGGTTTCAAGGACTGTAATTTCCATTAAACAAAGGAATATTTATCCCATTGAAAGGAACCAATTTCTCACCCAACAGGGTAAAAGGCAAACTCTTTAAGAAAAGAAGACGGCAAGGTAAACAAACTGGAATTGAATCAGCATTTTTGGAATACTCCTTTTCGGCTCGTTTTCATTCAATGACGTTCAACAGGGAAAACAAACAGGACCGCAAAAAAAATTACCATGTGTTGATGTTAGACTTCACAAACAAACCAAAGGAAAACTTTACCGCCCTCGAAAAAATAGGAAAACTACGCAAAAACCAACAGAAAAAGGCTGACAAAAAAGCAGACATTTTTTCAGCTCATTTACACAAACGCACGTTTCTGCAACATCATCACGATGATCATCCGAGCCACACCCCTTTTATCATCTTTTAGAAAAGTTTTCAACAACACAAATACAAATACGGTTACCACTATGCCGGCAAATGGGAACACAAAATTCAAATGCAAATTGGACGCATTTTTTTCATGAGCAATTGTGTTGGGAAATTTGGCTACCTCGGGGCAGGAAAATTGCCAACTTTTTAATATGTGTAAAATATTGTGTGTGCGAAATACTTTAAGCCCCAAGCATATTCATCATTGAACGGTGGCTTGTCCTTGGCTGTGTTTCCGGTGTGCAATAAATAATTGTAGCACTTGGCCACACTTGAAAAATGCAATAAGCCAAAGGCCACACTTCCTTTTGCGGCAATGAACGCTTGCCCCTGAGTACTCGTGAGTGGTTAACTGGAACAAATAGTTCTGCCCCAAGGTTAAAACAATAAGCCGATGATGAGAGTTAAAAGTGAACAATTTTTCTCGTTAATGTAAACTCCCTTTACACCCCTCTTCGATGTCATCCTGTTTCCGTTCCCTGTTAATTGCCATCTGATTAAAGTCAACTCGGCTTACAGCTTAAAGCCTTTCCGGCAACAAGTCACCCTGCTGAAACGGAATCTTTCATGGGATCCGAATGTCATTGTCCATGTTGGTCAGTGGAAAAGTTTCTGTTTTTTATTTCGCTTTTTTCTGAGCTTCCGTTCCACATAAATCTGCAGGTTTTATTTTTAATTACCAGTAAAACCATTTTCATGTCGGCACAGTTAAAAGTTAAAACCCAAATAAATTTCAATAAAAAAGAAATGATGAATACAAGAAAATATTTTTTGTGAAAACGGCTTTTAAGTTGCAATGGGTCCTTGTGAATGCTAATTGGAAACAGTTTAAGAAAATTTATTGGCACATCTGTGAAGAAAAAATAAATAAATATTGTTATTTTTGCCATTATCTCTATTTTATTATAATAATAATTATAATTAGTAATTATAATGCTTAAATAATTGCATGTTCTTCCCAAGTAAATCCCCAAGCGAACGACTTTGTAACCCATGACTTCAAACTTATTTTTTGATCATCATTATTTTCTCACACAGTTTGCTTCAACTGCCACAATTTACCAATTTTCGCACAAAACACTTTTCACAGCTCATTAAGGCTAACAAATTAAACGGGACGCCAGGAAAAGCAGAAAGTATAAAGTCACAAGCTACCGCGCTTAAGGAAAAAGCGAAGCACACAAATAGCACACATACGCCATGTGGTGCACTGTGTTCTGGCATCTTTGGTAATTGTAGTTAGGCAAGAGGATGCCTTGTTGCTACATGGCGAAATAACAAAATCATTGTGGAATTTAATTAAGTTGCCTGCTAGGAGCCGCAGTTGGTCTGAACAGGACAGAACGAGCCCATTAACACATTTTTCAAGTTTAATTCAACGTAATAACAAATTTTGCTAGGCAAAAACGACGGTGGGCGTAAGGGGAAATGCTGTGGCACTCAAGCAGCCATATAAATTACAGACAGACATGAGCGGCATACTAGGATTCGCAGGATGCGAAAGTGTTGCCATTAAGTCGCACACGTGTGCCCCAGAAGAGCGAAGAAATGCCGGGGAGAGAAAGCCCGGAGAAAGTCAGACAAGTCAGTGCCAAGTGCCAGCGGCAGCGGCAGCTGATGGCCCTTCAAGCACATTTCTTCAAGTGGCTTCTATTTCTCAGACCGCCACCCCCCTAATTAAGACAAATGTAAAAACTACAACAAAAAGGGCCGAAAAGCGGAGCGAACACATCTGCACAGTGAGGAAAGCTTAACCATTTTTTAGCTTAAAAGATTAATCTTACTTACTAATTAACGACATAGTAGAGTAGTTCTCTAAGAAAATAACACTTCAAATTTTGTTTTTCAAAATTTTCATATTCGGCTAGTAATGTTTGAAGTATCCGAAAATTATTATAATGTAAGTTAAGCTTTGTTTTAAAAACTTTTTTAATTCAAATTATTTATATTGATATTATAATGGAATTACACCTGAAAAATATTTTTTAAGCTAATTATTCAACGACACCTTAAACTGATTTTGTTAAACTAACTATTTGGATTTGAAACTGAGGCGTTACAAAATAAAGTTCTGAAACATACATTTCCTTATTAACAAAAAGTAATCCCTGAGCTTACCAATACAAAATATTGAAAGTAAGATATAAAGTCTCGTGTTCGGGGAGAATTTTTTTCCGTGGACTTGTCAGGCCCCTTTCGGAAAGTTGATAAAAAGACATTTTCACTTTAGTTCTTTTTGCGACCTGCATGTTGACACACGGCATTTATGTTTGCCCTGACATTGTCACGTGTCTCATCTGGCGCGTCCTGCGGCACCAACAACACACAAAAGTGAAACAGCAGAACCAGAGTAACAAAAACAAAAGAAAGGAAAAGCCAGCAGCAAATGTCAATGTCTCACTGAAGTGAATGGCTTTCACCTCCCGAGAAGATGGGCGTGTCCTTTTCACATTAATCTCCAGCATGATGGCATTTTAATGCAGGAAACTCAACTATAACTATATGGTTATTTATTGTGATGGGTCTGACAGATGTTGCTTTTGATAGGGGGTATGGGCTGTGGGGTTGAAACAGGAACATAAGGAACTGGGAAATGGTCTCAGAACATTCAATTAAATCATCAATTAGTTGTGTGTGCAACATGTTGCCAAGTGATTTGGACATCAGATTAGGCAACAGCTCAGTTTGCGTAGCATTATAACTGGATGGGGATTAAAGAGGATATGTAGACGATTTTCAACATCTAACATCTAATTGTGTAAAGAACTTCTTGATTGAACAGGATGATCATTTAAATTGTTATGTATATATGGCAATTAAGCTTGATGAAACTTTTTTATAACTTAAAAATTAATATCCCCTTATTCAAAGTTTCGTTTTACATATTTAAATTAAAACAGTTAGTCAAGTTGTATACAAAAAAATAACTGCTTCATTAAATTTGAAACTCTTTCAATAAAGTTTTATCCAAGTCTTGAATACACTAGATTGTAAAAAAAAAAAAGCGAACTATTTTGTAAATTTAATATTTTTAAAGGATCTTTAATTAAACCATTTCACAAATTTATCATTTTATTTTAACATTAAAATGGTTTAAATGTGTTTGATCCAACATTGTATTAAAATTTGATCTAATGACCAAAAATATTTAAATAAATTGAATAACGTATGAGGCAAGGCTATGAACCTGCACTTAAATTAAATAGTGTCTTTATATGGTTAGGTCAAAAGATCTCAATTAATTTTTATCTGAAATAAAACAAAAAATTTAATAAATTATTCTGATAGTGATTTATTTATCTCGTTTTTTTTGTCCTACTATTTAGAGCTCATATTATTTTTTTTAAAAAGTTAAACTATTTAGAATATTTATAATTGTAGCGCTTTTCACTAATAAAGATCTCCTTTATTTAATATTACGTAATAATATTTATACTTTTTTCCATAGGTTTTGGCTTATATTTTTAAATGAGTTTTGTATTTAAAAATATAAAAATACCCATATTTTTATCCGTATTTTAAAGGACAAGAGAATTATGTTTAAAAGTTAAGTGTGCAAAACAAGAAGTTGATCGTTGCAATAGTTTCGACTATGAAATTATTTTAGACAATCATTTCCTGAAACTTTGTTACTTTTTTATACTTAAAAATTTTGTCATTCTAAAAATTATAAATTCGAATTTTTAATGAAGTATGTCAAGACCCAAATAAGACCCTTAATAATGTTATAATTTTAAAAAAAATATTTTGTTGAAAAAAAATGTTGTTTTTCCTATTTACTAGTATATCAATATTTTCTCTTTTATTTGTCTGAAAAATATGGCGTTACGCACTTATATTGACATAGACCTTGTTTTTTTATATAAATAGTTACTTGTATAAGTACATACTTTATGATTTTTTCATGCATGATGTATACAAATCTTTCCTTATCTATTTGTTGTGTCCAATCCAGTATTGATTGAAATTATTTACATCACTTACAGGATCTAATAATCAAAGTCAATGCCAAATAAGGCATTTCTTCGTGTGCATATCACCAAAATTCAATTTATACCCAGCTAAACCTAAACTTTTTCCAAAGATACAAACCTATAAATAGACCACGACTGAAAAATGTTGCCTACTTAGCAGCGCATTGAGTTTTCAATAGGAAACCCACAAAGTAAAAGACGTCGCAAAAGTCAAAGCCCATCCACAAGGCAAATGCCAAATGGCATTATCAATAGTGGATTCAGCGAATCCCAAAATAAATAGCAAGCCGAGTGTGTGAATCTGACTGGGTGCAGTCATGAACATGCATACGGAGCTATGGCGACGTAGCTATAGATATATCTGTGTATTTATAGCGACATGCCATTTATTCCATTGAACAAAAACTCATTTGTAAGTGTTTTTATGCGTAAAGGAATTTATTATAAAGGAGGAACAGTTCCTCAGGAGATATATTGCTTTATTACGATGTGGCAAAGCGATGGGTATCGGGATGGGAATCCAGTTTGGCGACAAAGGCCAGAGGAAAATAAAGAAATGGCTGGCAAATATTTAGCACATGGAGGCGAAAAGCAGACTGAAAGAGTGATGGAACGGCGGGGGGTAAATGGGGAAAATGGCGAGAGAATGAATGCTGCATTTCCGTCTTTTTCGGCTTTTGTCTCTTTTTCTGCGTAGGGATTCCTCGAATGGCGGGGTGTTGTGGGTGGCGGATGGGGTGGACCTTGAGGGCGTTCCACATCGTCGACATCGTCATCAGCATCATTCTCATTGCAGTCGTTAAGTTATAGACTTTGATTTCGTTTGCCTCATTCAACTGCGGGGCAACTTTTATCCTGCCACCCAGAGTGTGCGCTCTGTTGCAAAGTCGTTTCAGAGATTTATTTGCCTTGTACCCTGGCAACGACTCTCGACATCCATATCCTTTGCTCTTCTCACACTTAAATGGCTTTAATTGATTTCTGATTTTATGGCCCTGCTGGACACATTTCACAGTTGATTACTTGCGAAATGGGCTACAATTCTTGAGAGGTTTTGCATCTTCTTAGGGCATTAATTCCGTAATTTTGAAGTTCATCGAACCATTAGTTTTATAAATATTGTATAAGTATAAATGAATTTTGTGTGTTTATTAAATTTGTTGTTAATTATCAGCATTTTTTAAAATTTTTATTTGTTATTTTTTAATAATAAACAAGAGAGAACGCTATAGTCGGGTGCCCCGACTATCACATACCTGTTACTCAGGTAAAGGGAGTGCGAGGGAGATGGAGATAGAAACTTTGATCACGCATAACTTTTTAACGAATGGTCCGATTTGAAAAATTTCTTCTACATTTCGATAGGTATTGATAAACACAATAAAACTGTATTTTTACTTTTCCGAAATATTTAAATTTTTAAAATCGTATATAAGCGATTGTGGGCGTTAAAGGGGGCGTGGCACCATTTTGAAACAAACTTGCGCTGCGTAGGAACTTCTAAAATCTACATGCAAAATGCCAATCTTCTAGCTTTTATAGTTTCCGAGATCTCAGCGTTCATACGGACAGACAGACAGACAGACAGACAGACGGACAGACGGACAGACGGACAGACGAACAGACGAACAGACGAACAGACGAACAGACGGACAGACGGACATGGCTAGATCGACTCGGCTAGTGATCCTGATCAAGAATATATATACTTTATAGGGTCGGAAACGCTTCCTTCTAGCTGTTACATACTTTTGCACGAATACAATATACCCTTTTACTCTACGAGTAACGGGTATAATAAATTATCTATCAATACAAATATATATACTTATAAAATATATATAACATTTTGAATATATGTTTTTTTATGAGAAAATATATCCTTTTGTTCTTTGTCAGTATAAACACTCATAACTGACTGTGAGCTGTTTTTCTAGTAGCAGTTCTAATTCAAAGCTCTCGCTTAACTAGTCAAATTACATCATTTATTCTGGATCAAAATGTCGGACGAAAAATCTGATGAATTGCAAGAACTTGGAAGTTGCGAGTCCTTTACGGAAATGAGCCAGAACAACAGTGCCGATTACACGGCTGTGGTGCCTCTGGATACCTCCGAGGATGCTCAGTACTCGGAGCAAATGTTTTCCACCATTCAGGAGCGTCTTACCAGGATCATGAATCGCGTTAGTCTTGCCAATTCTGTTATGGCCCAGATGAAGCGGAACCTTAAGGCCAAGATTCCCTCGACGGCAGCAGTCGCAAATGCCGACAAGTTGGCGGGAGGCGATAACCCACTGAGAGTTGATAATATCGAAGAAGGAAATGAAGTCACCAACGAATAATTTAACGCAAATTTTAAGTTAACCATATATTTATCTCTAGCTAACCAATTTCATGTTCAAATTTCCATTTACAACATCGGACACAGACTTCTAAAATTTCCTAAGTTACTTCTTAACCGTATATTCGAGAATAAATACCGAATTAAACCAAGTTAATTCATAAAAAGCAAGTAAATTATACAGCTGATCCCGTATAATAAACTAGCCCACAACTTTAATATATGCACAAAAGGAAAACAAAATATTCCTCTCACATGCACCCTTTTCACCATAATTTGAGCCACTTCCCAACGCCATTTACAATTTATTTGGGGCTTTCCACACACAATTTGCGAACGGGCTTCCGTTCTGCCAAACTATGACTTCTTTTCGGCGCGCACAATAAACTTTTCATTGACCGCCCTTCAAAAATGTTACCCGGAGCAATTCCGAGCAGCTGCACTTTGTCAAGGGCCTTTTGTTTTCGTCGAAAACTTTGCTCAGACCCAAATGAACGACAAAGTCGGAAAATTTGAGACTGAAATTTGCATTTGCCTTTCGCCACATTCACATACAAAGACGGAGTGCCATGGGGCCAAACAAATATGTTAAAAGCAATAAATAAGGAAGGACATTCTTCAAGTTGGTCGGCTGCCGCCCAACTTATTGGCAAAAATATGTGTGACAGGGCTGACTAAAAGCTGAAACTGAAACTGAGCGCAAAACTGAAGATGAATCCAAACATAATTTGCCATAAAATGCCGTCGCAGCAGCGTTAAATTATATGAAATATTTTTATTGTTAACTTGCAAAAATGTCAGAAGCATTTTGTCAGCTGGCAAATCTCGGTGGCAGCAATTGTGCAGTGCGTTTATCACTCCGACTGGTGCAACTGTGGCAGCTGCTCCTCCCCCTGATTCCCTGCTCGAAATCCAGCCGCAGTTTGTCATGCTCCACATCCGGGAATGTAGTCCTCAGTCCTCGCATTTCCCATCTGCTCGTAGTCGCATTTTGTCACAACTCCCAGCTTCATGCTTAAGTAAACTTTGCCCCAATGTTGTGACTACGCACTGTGTGTGATAACCGAGTTTACTGAGTGAACTCACTCGGCTGAATGAATGGCTGCTTGAGTGCAGGCAAAATGGTTGAAGAACTACTCTACAGCGCCAAGATAAATTCGAAACTTTCACGCTGAGCTAGAAGGCGATTATAAACGAAATATAGATATAATTCCCTCCCTATTGAAAAATAATTAATTAATATTTATTTTATTAGTTAAATTAAAGCAATAATTGAATCCTAAGTTCAGTTGTTAAAATTCTCACCAATAGAACCAATGGCATAGTATCCTAAATACCCAACCATATAACACTTTATGCACCTATTTGTGGAGATTAAAACCAAATAGTGATTGAACTTAGCTAGGATTTTAATTTCCGACTGTAAGCTTTGAAGTCTGACCCTCCTTCGCCTGACGTCATCGATTCATTAAAATTTCAAAATGAGCCTCACATGAAATTCAATTACAAAATGCCACAAAATTCGAAAAGCCAGCCATAAGCCTGTGCCCATAATTTTACACACACTCGTCACTCTTTCTCCTGGTCTGGGGCCACCACACAATTTAGAATATGGTACGCTGAGAAGACCTAAGCGGTGAAAATTCCCAAGTTCAATGTAACCTGTCACAGGCAGCAGACAAACTAATAACGTTTCGATAATCACAACTGGGGAATTGAATGTGGCGGGGGAAAACCGGCTTTCACGGGAAATCAATCCCGTTGAAATCGAAACCGAAATTGAAACCGAATCTGAGGCTGCGGCTGATGGGTTTCGACTGAGAAGTGTCCTGTCATTTGGCCAGAAGGTCCTCACTCAACACATTTCAAGGCTTTCTGGCTGATGATGATGGTGATGACTATCATTCTTCAATGAATGACCATCTCTAAGCGACTGGAGCAGTGCTGCCAACATTCAATTTAGAAAACTAAACGAAAAAGCCATAAAAGTGAAAAGAGGATGAACCATTCTAATAACCGACCGAAACCCAAAAAAATATATATATATTTTACCAAATAAGTACTTTGCTTTTGAAAGTTTTTTAAATAAAAAAAAATGGCTTAATCAATTATGAGTATATTTTTATTTTTATTATACTTATTTATATATTTTCTCAGTCATTTGGTCAATATACGGATTTTTATGTGTGCAACAACATGACTCGTCAATAAAAGTGTTTTTTGTTTTTGTTTTTGTAATTAAGGAACGTGAGATGGGACATGTAATTTATATTAGTATTTTAGGCTGCTCCTAAAGAAAGTATTTTTAAATGAATTTAGCCGTGATCAATTTCTCGCCTTTTAGAATTCGAATATCCTTATGTGAAAATAATTTGCTTGGGAAAGAACGTTCAAAAAAAAAGAGATATATCAGGAAAAAAGACAAAATGTCAGAACTGGGTTCGTGCTTCATTCGCGGCAGTCTCTTCCCGTCGGTAATCTGTGGAAATTAGCATTTCAATCAAATCTACTTTTATGTGTCTGACTTGTTTTATGCCTCAACGACAGCAACAAAGACATCCTCATCACGCTCATCGTCATCATCATTCGGCAAATGAAATTGTATCCATTCTGTTTATGCATTTGACGAGCCCTGAAAAGGAAAATTTTCGAAATTGATTGATTAAATATTTATTCATACGGAAGTGCTTAGTGTGTTTTCCCTTTGCCCATTTTGGGGAATTTCCTACATATTTATGAACTGTGGCAAGCCCAACACATTTTTTCCTGTTTGTTGTCTTCTTTTGGAGGCTTTCCCTCGGGTTGTGTCATTAATTCAGTTAACATGGAATCCCTTTTGGGCGTGTCTCAACATTCCTCGAGCAAATAACAATTTACTGGGACTAATGCTTAAAAAATCTTGTCAACTGGTGAAGCCTGATGTGAATTTTAATAAAATAATTGGGAGAAACTTTTATATTTTACTCTCAATTACCTATTACACTAAAGCATATGTCAATATATATTAAAATATATATTATCTTTAACCAGTAGTCAAAATAAAGATAAACTCGCTAATCGTGACTATATTCTGTCTATATTCTGCACTTGTCATAGGATTAATAACAAATTAAACCATTCCATTTTTCCTAAAATTAATCTAGCAAATATTTGTTCGTTGTAAGGGAATCGCCCGCATTCCTGGTCGTCTTGTGAATGAAACTTCCCGAGAGCTCATCTTGCAAGGGCTTGCCTCATTAATTCGGTTAGTTCCCGGCACTTAAAGTCAATCAACTGGCCCGCAGGAAATCTTAATTAAACAAACTTGTTCGGCAAATCTTTTCTAAATGGCCCCCACAACACAAACATGCTGCGAAACGAGAAGCTCTCGAGCTCTGGGCAACCCAAAACCGAGGACTTTGCAGCTACTCATGTTGGTATTGAACAAATGCCTATTCCGGATACACTTAGTCTGAGTATGAGGTTGCCGGAAGAGGGGATCTGGCCTCCATTTGCGGCTAAACGTGCAAAACAATTTGGCGTTTCTTGCACATTTTCGACTCTGATTTTGGGCAGCTATTTTTGGGTCCTAGAGACCAGACTCTACCGGCTTGTCTGGCAGTCAAGGGTCCTCCACAAATTGGTAGTGGGCATGCTTAAAGCACTTCTGCTGCACTTGGAATGGCGAAAGCCGAATCAAGCTCTGAGTATTCCACATTCTGGGGCCAGGTCGGCTGCCTGGGCCATTAAAGTGCTAATAAATTCTCAAACTCATATCAATCGATGGCTGTGCAGAGTCGTAGGCCCCATAAAGCGTTGTTTAATGGCGAATATGTTTGCTCTGGCTCCATTGGGCACAAGAAGTGTATAAATCAGCAGTCAGCAGTATTTAGTCGCGGGCTTCGACACAGAGATACTTGGCAACCGTTTTTATATATTTTAAAACTTAGTTGGGAATGTGGGTACTAAATAGTTTCATAAAACCAAATCAATTCATATTTCCTACAATTTGTGTACAACATTTGAGAAGATTGGCAAAATAAAGTTTATTTGCTAGAACTTTAAACAAATATTTGGGACCCAATATTAAAAAAATTAAATGATTATAAATTAGAACTTGATAGAGGATTTATATAGGCACCATAACCCTGTTCTCTTCTCATACTGTCGGGAAGAAAAAGTAAACTCAAACTCATATATGGTAGAAGGTAACTGCAGAATATGGTACTCGTTAATTTATTTACCGAATGCACTGGGGAGTGATCAGAATAATGAACCTTTATAAGGCTATTACTTGATTAAAAGCCGGCTAAATTAAGTTCAACTAATTCCGGGTTTAAGGTACAGCATCCACTTTATTACTGCTTTTTCCTCAACTTTATAAATGACTCTGGGCTCCTCTACCCTCGACTGCTTCACCACGAGGATTGACCGCAGCATTCACTCAATGAACACCTTTTGAACTCCATTCAAAACCCTCCTGATCCCGATGCCTCTGCTCAATGGACTGTACACCTCGTACCCCTTGGGGTAATAAAGCAAGAAAAAGAAACAAGAATAATAATGAAAAAGAAAAGTTTGTTTTCCCCTTGATATTACTTTAAATATGCAAAACTTCACTGTTTTATGTCCTTGCAGCTGTCCAGTTGGCCGGCCAGGGGTCCTTGTCCCAGCTACTTGTTCCTCTAACGAAGTGGATTCCCCTTTCAAGCGGTGGGGCAAAACAGAAAAATAACACAAAAACAAAATGCTCACAAATATTACGCTACACAAACACGGAGCCAAGTTGGCAAAGCGTTATGGAAAAGTTGCGTCTGGTCCTGGGCCACTTTTGCATTACATTATCTCAAGTTTTGCGCTGGCAATTTCTCATGTTTCCCCCACATATTCTCTCGCATGCTCGTATTTGTATTTACCCATTGTCGTGCCCATAAACATGCAGCTGACTTGTTACTGTCCTATCATCATCGTCATCATCGTGCTCAACGTCAGGGAAAAACTTGTGTCGCGAGACACCAGAAAAACTGAGACTCTGATAAAAACTTTGCCTCATTTTCATGTCGGGCCAAATGAGTTTTGGAAAGTTACTCCCCGCCCAGAGTTCCGTGCGATTCGGCTAATGGTGACAGTAATTTTTAATAAAAGCTGCCAAGTGTCGACACAATTTGCAATTTGCACACGCTCCCCGACTTTGATGGAATAGTTGGCAGGACTTGGCATCCCTAGTGTTTGCACAGCCTCTTCTTGCTGCCACCGGAGCTCTTCAGCATGCGATGGGAGACCCTTTCCTGGCGATCCGCACAGTCGGTGATCCTCTGGCAATGGGTCACTGTGCCCTCCAGGTCGCGCTTCAGCTTGATGAACTTATACCGCACGTCCACGTAGGACTCGTCCAGCTCCTGGGCACTTCTGGCCCCGTAGAGTTGGCTCAGCATCTCCAGTTCCGAGTCCGCGTTTTGCAGGGACGACGCATCCTGCTCCGTGGACTCGGGGCTGTACAGAGGATAGTCCTCGGCGAAGGGGTCCATGGAAATGGTATAGCGCCCGGGAGCATTGTACTTCCGGTTCATGGTCTTCACCAGACCCAGACACTCGTGCAGGTCGTCCTCCATCGAGTAGCAGATTTCCAGGGCATCGTCGATTTTTATAAATTCCGTTTGTATTATCATCATTTGACTCCAATTGAATTTGATACTAATTTAAAATTCTGTGCAGCACTGACATGTGACACAGGGTGTCCCATTTATGACATAAATTCATCAATTATGATTCGATTTTTTCAAAATAAATGTCTGTCATTTTACAAGATGTGGCTATCGTATGTTTAGCTGGCAAGCGATATTATTTTTAAATATTAAACATTTCAAGCAACTTTAAAAAGTTTCAGTTAGTTTTAATTTTATTCAAATACTGAACGGATAAAACATAGAAAAATGAATCTTTATTTTAAGAAAAAACTTTATTTGGAAAAGTTTTATTTATTTTAAGCCCAAATAAAATTTTAATAACAAGGCACTAGTGATTTTTTATACTTTTTAATACATTTAAAATCATTGCAAGATTCATCAGACCTTATTATATTAACCAATTCATGTGTCGTGATTGGTTTTGTTATAAGTTTTTAACAAGATTCTCCATGTCCTCGATTCGATCTATAAAATCATTCATTTTGTTTATTTTCGTACACCTTTTTTGGCACTCAAGCATAATATCAGCTTGATTTTTTAGTTCTGCTATTTGATCTTGAGTTTGCTTAGCCAGTGAATCACGGTCGAGGAGATTTTTTTTAATTTTATCCATATCCCTGCTTATATCATTGTTAAAATTCTCCAGTAATTGCAAGGAGTCTTTGGCATCAGCTGATAGGCTGAAAAGCTGTTGGCCCTCGATGTCCTTTAACTGCCTGTCAACATTATCTCGGAACTCATTGAAATCCCTTTTCAGACTCGCCAACTCAACAAGCATGTTTGTTGCATTGTTGGAGCTATTATTGCTATTAAACAAATCACTTTGCTTGTCTTTTAGAGTTTCCAAGGTAATATTAGCTTTGTCTAGCTCTTTAGTGAGGTTCTTTATTTTCTCCTGAAGACTTTCATTATTTTTCGTTTTATTTATGTCGCCCATCTTCTTGACAGATTCGTTTGTGCTCTCTTCTATGTCCTTAAATTGATTTTCGTATTCTTTAAGGGTATCATTATAGGATCGGTTCATTTCTTTAAGCATAGATTGTAATTGATTAGTTTCCAGGCTTAATTCATCAATTTTCTGGCAACACTTTGGAGGCTTCTTCAGCTCTTCACGCAGACTTTCCTCCTCTTGTTCCAGTTCTCTAATGCGATCTTGCAATTTTTTATCAAAAGTACAGTTTGAATTGCTTATTGACTTATCATTATAAATCGCAAAAGTTCTAGAACCCCCTGCTTCAAAGCAGGATTGAGTTCTTTCATTTAGCAATTCCTGTATTTGATATTGAATATTTTTTAGCCTTTCGCTGTTTTCCATGCAGGTAAGAAAGGTTGCATTTATGTCTTTAGTCGGGGCCAGGACTTCAAGCTGATTCAACAAATTGTTATATTTTTCGACGAGCTTTTTTAAGTTTTCTAATTTATTTGCCACAGCGAAAATGTCACCTTTATTTAACTGCTTGTGATCTGGAGTAATGTGTTCGAAACCATTTTCGATTCTGCAGTTCTTCTTACAAGTTTCCGTAATATTTTTAATATATTCTCCAGTGTCTTCTGTTGTTTTCCTTATAAGATTTGTAAAATCATATTCATTGCGTTGAATTTCATTGAGATCTTTGAGCTGATTGTCTAGTTTCTGGGCTGGGTCATCTTCACTTCTCGTCGTCTTAACTTTATGTTCTAATTCCAGCGTTTTTCCTTTCAATTCAGCACAGCATTTGTTGTTTGACATATTTTTAGATACACTTGTTTCCAAAGTTTCCAAGCGTTCTTTAAGGTCTTTTATTTTATCCTTAAGGTCATTTAGTTTATTCTGCAGCTCGTCTTTCTCCCTGGAAATTTTGGGGTTCACTTCATTTGAATTTCCTGTCAGATCCTGCAATTTTTCTTCAAGTTTATCTTTGAGATTTTTGACTACATCTTGGAGGTTATCACAACAACTTTTGAAGCCCTGAGCCACGGCTTCCTTGATCTTCAGTAAAATATTTTCCAGATCCGTCCCCAGATCTCCGCTGTATTTCAGCTGCCCTTCTTGGTTTCCGCTGTCTTGATCGATTGCGTTGATATTTTCGATTACTAATTTCAAGTTGGTTTCTTCAAATAAGCAGCACTTATTTAGAGAAGTTGTTCCATTGAGGAAGATTAGAAGCGTATCCAGTTCTGCCTTAAACTTCCTCCACTGAGCATGAAGCTTCACGTGCCCATCCATCCACGTGGAAATGTCGTTGTAGTCTCCGCACTTTTCGTTCCCCAGAGGTGCACGCATTTGATTAGAAAGACTTCCGTAGCCACGAGTGTGTTGGGACTCCACCGTCGCAATTGCAGATAGCAAAGGTAGTAGTGACGCAATCGATACCTGTGCATGACATTCGCATTGTTGAATGAACACATCTTGGCGGTCGGATCCATGGAACTCACCTTTGGTTTCATTTTCGTCACGTTTGCTGCGGTACACGGACCTGTGTCGCCGGTCTGCCAAGTTCAACTAACTGGCAAAGAGAGAGAACTATTAGTTACCTTTTGCAATGTGCGGTGACCACCAATCGATTTGCATGCTGCATTTATTAATCGTCGAGAGGAGCTTCAGAATTTTAAAAAAGTTATATATACAAATATACAAATTTGTTTCTATTTTGTAATAACTTTTATTTTTGCGTGATGTACGTATTTTTAAAATGATGCATCATGTACTATTTAAAAATAGTTTCTCTAGCGTAACTTATTTCATAAAAATATTTCTGAGTTTTCACCGATTTGTTTAATTTCCAACTGGCGTTGAGACTTTCCTTTAGAGGAAATCTGGACAATTACTGCAGCCCTTCATTTAAATAGTGTACAATAAACTTAATTTTGAAAATTTTTAAGAGAAGAATATACCTTTTTTGGTAGAATTACTATTTTTAGTACTGCTTTGTTGGTCAATTGGCCATTGGTTTTTTTTGTATTTGTTTTTTTGTAGTACTTTCTGAAGTTGTGCTACAAATTTGAAGCGGAATAATATATCATCTAACACGGCCGATCGTAACAATTAAATATTTCACAAATTAATATCTTAATTTAAAAACGTTTAATTAAATTTGTTTTGATGCTTATAGAGGATTACTTTAAAAATAAATAAAATTAGGGATAATATGCGTTCAATCTAGCAATAAATTGTTTGATACAACATTTGTTAAAAGTTTATTAAGAGATTTTAAACTGATCTTTACTTTATCTCCGGGATAATGGATATTTTTGATTGTGCTTCTGAAAGCCACCGTCAAGTTAAGATCACTTTAAAACCGCTTAATAATAAGCAAATAATTATATTTCCGGCATAATGGTATAGCATTTGATACTTTTTAAGAGTATATTTAAATACGCATAATCCAAGTAATTAAAAGACGAAATGATAGGAAAAAACTCGAATTAAACATATTTTTATTTTAGATGAATAATACAATTGAATTCTTTAAGTTGCATAACATAATTTTTTTGTCTCAAGTTTTCTTTATTAAAACCATTAAGAGTAAATAAACTGTGAAGCCAGTGTTTACTAAGAAATCTTCTACTATTCAGTAGGCCGAGAAGAGGTATAATCAATACCTCCAATTTTAACATCAGATTTTGATGTTCGTTTTTTTCGAGTCGGTTTCGGTTTTGGTTTCTGAGTCGGTTTCGATTTTGGGATTGATTTCGAAATTGGCTTTAGTTTCGACCAAGAAGATCCCTTTGCCTTAACTAGCTTCTCCGCGTCCTCAATTTGATCAATAAGGTCGTTTATTTTGCTGGTCCCCTTGCACTTTTTATGGCATCCAAGCATTAGATTCGTTGGGGTTTTCAGTTGAACTATTTTTTCTTTGATCCTCTTTTCTAAATCGTCATAATGGAGAAGTTTTTGTTTTAGTTTATCCAGATCCTGGCGAACGATAACGTTAAGTGTATCTAGTTGTTTCTCGCGATCCTTTTTATTAACTAATAATTCCCTTAACTTATTTTCTTTAATATCCTTTAGCAGAGTGTCAACTTTTTGTTTAAATTCGTCGAAATTGCTTCTAAGCATTGCCATCTCATTTGGCAAAGTTTCTGCATATTTAGTATTCTTTATAAGCTTTGAAATCTCACCTTGTCTTTCTTTTATTATTTCCAAATTTAAATTGACTTTGTTTAACTTATTGTCGAGGTTGTTAAGCTGCTGTTCAAGACCTTCATTAATATTTGATTGATTGATGTCACTGAATCTCATGAGTGCTTTGTACAGACCCTCTTTAATGTGCTTAAATTGATTTTCGTGAGATTTAATGTGCTCATTGTAGGTTTGGTTCATTTTCCATTGAGTGTTTTTTAAATGATCGGCTTGCGCGCCAAGTTCATAAATTTTCTGACAGCACTTCGTAAAATAGTTCAGCTCTTCCCTCAGGGGAAGAACTTCCTTTTGAAGTTCTTTAATGTTATATTCAAGGTTTTCATCGGAGATACATATTGCATTTCTTCTAACCATACCTATGGCAGGCCATTGAACTGCAGTTTTGGGGGCATCTGACGATGCCTTTGAACAACTTTGAGTTTTTATCAATTCCTGGAGTTCATATTGAATTTTGGATAGGTTTTCGCCATTTTTCAGGCACGCATGCAGTGATGCATTTAAATTAGTTGTTGGTTCTAAAGTGTCCAATTCGCTTAACTTGTTGGAAAGTTTTTCGACGAGCCTCTCTAAGTTTTCGATTTTCATTTCCAACTCAAGTAATTCTCCTTTTTCGAATTGCGTGTCGTCGGAAAGATTTTCATTTCCACAATGTTTTTCGCACTTGTCAATTATATTTTTAATATTTTCGCCACGGTCTCTTATAGTTAATTTTAAGGCACTTGTTAGGTCATCTTGAGTCCGTTGCTTATCCTTAAACTCTTTTATCTTATTGTATAACTCTTGATTCTGGACATCTGCTTCGCTTTTTCTCGTTTTTAGTATAATGTCTAAATCCTGAATTTGTCTCTCTATTTCTGCACAACATTTGGTGTTTGCTTCAAATTCACCCACTTTATTTTGCAACGTATGCAACCGTGCCTTAAGGTCTTTTATTTGATCCTCAAAGTCTTTAAGATTATTGTGGAGCTCCTCTTTCTCCCTGGAATTTTCTGAATCATTTAATTTTCTTGAAAGATCCTGCACACTTGTCTTCAGATCATCTTTGAGATTTTTGATTGAATCTCGCAAGTTTTTACAACAATTTTTAAAGCCTTTAACCACAGGTTTGTTGATATTGGATAAAATATTTTCTAGATCCGTTTCCATATCTGCGCTGTACTTAATCTGCTCTTTTTGGATTCCACTGCTTTGATCGATTGCGTTGACGTTTTCAATGATTGATTGCAAGGTGGTTTCTTCATAGAACCAGCACTTCTTAAGAGAAGTTGTTACATTGAGTGGGATTAAAAGCGTATCCAGTTCTGCCTTAAAGTTGCTCCACTGAGCATGGAGCTTCACGTGCTCATCCATCCACGTGGAAATATCGCTATAGTCTTCGCACTTTTCGTTCCCCAGAGGTGCACGCATTTGATTAGAAAGACTTCCGAAGCCACGAGTGTGTTGGGACTCCACCGTCGCAATTGCAGATAGCAATGGTAGTAGTGACGCAATCGATACCTGTGCATGACACTCGCATTGTTGAATGAACACATCTTGGCGGTCGGATCCATGGAACTCACCTTTGGTTTCATTTTCGTCACGTTTGCTGCGGTACATGGACCTGTGTCACCGATCTGCCAAGTTCAACTAACTGGCAAAGAGAGTAAATTATTAGTTACCTTTTGCGTTGACCACCAATCGATTTGCATGCTGTGCCTATTAACGAACGAGGGGAGCTTCAGAATCTTTAATATGGCAAAAAATGTAAGTTTCAGTATTAAGAATGGTTTGACGAATACATTTTTTATTTACTATTATCACAAATTTAGATATCATAATAACTTTTTTTCAAGTTCATTGATAATGCCGAAAATCCATCAGAAACTGAAATTAAAACGGTATACATTTAAATAATATATTCGACGTAAATAAGTGTTCAAAATAAAATATGTGAGACACCATAGGATTATGTATTGAAAAATAATTTATTATCAAGGAATTTCAAAAAATACACTTAAAATCCCAGCTTTGCTATCTCCCGCTGTCAACAAACTCACTCCAACTTTTAGGCGCCCCCGAAAAAGCAGCATAAATTTGTGGGAAACCCAATGCAATTCGCAATGCCCTGAGCAGCATTTACTCCTTATCATCGCACAGGTTGTGGCTACAGGGCCACTTGAAATGGATACCCAACAGGGAGCCAGAACTGCGACTCCCGACCGTCCAGATCCACCATACAAGCCCACCCCCGAGCTCCCAGCTCCCGGTTCTCGGTCCCTGCAGGCGGGCGGAAAACCTGAAATGGAAAACAATTTCAGCTACGCAAACACGGCGGGAAGGCAACAAAAAAAATAAAGAAAGAGAAGCACAAAAATTAAATTGCTAAGCGGAAAAGCAGAAAAATGAGGGAACCAAAACTGAAATCACAGCAAAAGTTGAACCGCAGAAATAAAGTGAAATATATATACATTTTTGTGCCATGCTCGGATGCTGGGGGATTTTGAATAAATTCAGCTCAAGGTGTTTGCCCAGCCATCGAGCGAGGAGATTAGTTTAATTAGTCAACGTGGCGTATGCGTCATGCCGTGGCAAGCCACCAGAAACGTGCCACATGCGACGGCGGAAGGTAGCACCGCCAAAAATGCAATCGAACTTTTCGCGTTTGACTTGCGGTAGTTGGACGGGAAAAGTCACCGGAAAACATGGGGAATGTCGGGGGACTGGGGGTTTGTCAAGACAGATGCAAATGATAGGTGTTATGGCCCGGGGGATAGCAGCAGCAAGAAACTTTCTTAAGTAGTTGGCATAGTTGAGTCGAGCAGCTTCGGGAAAATGGCAAGCCTCGCTCAAGCCTGTCGAACGACACGTAATAGCCAGAATAATGAGAAAAAGTTCAAGGTAATCCATAAGATATCAAAAACATTTTTATTTATTACCCAAGCCATTCTTTTCCATTCCAAGCTAAACAAAATTTAATTGAAAGTGCGCAGTCGTTTGTAAAATGTTACTTTTGTTATATATTCTCATTGATATTATTTGATGCCATTTAACCTGTCAAATGCCCTCTGTCGTCAATTTTCAATGAACTGAATAAGACTTTTAAATTTACAAAATGTTAATTTATTATCTCATTGACTTTTATTTTATTTTATTTTTAGGTGAGTTTACTCAACAGATCTGATATTTTCAAAGAAGAATATTTAAACAGTATGGATATCAGCCCTAAACGAAGAATAAATAATAGGCATAAGTTTTTAATATCACTATTTAATACACACTTTATTTTTGCAACGATTTATTATGTATTGATTTTATTTCATTTTGAATTACAACAAGCTGTCATCTTTTCTATTGACCCATCTCAACCTATTTTCTGTGACCTTCAACATTTGGTTCTCGGCATTTATCATCAATTATGCTGAAAATTCTGAAAAAGGTTGCCTTGATTGAATTACTACATAAAATTCAACAAAATATGTGTCGCTGAATGAAAACCTGGCCGAAACCTGATAGGCAAAAACAGAAAGAGAAATAAGGAGACCCTTTCCATCCCCCAATAAATCACCTTTCAACCGCACATCAATTTTCAAAAGTTCATATAGAAAGGGGAAGGTTAACAAAATTTGGGAGTGCCGGAGCCTTAGTTAACTGCTATAATCCAGCCAATCAATCAACCTGCTTTCAATTATATTGTAATTTCTGTTACCATTAGAAATAGAATTTAATATGCTTTAAAATTTAGAAATTAACTATAAACAAGTTAAGCCTCTGGATTAAATTAAAAAAATATTAAATTCTTCAAAGCCTTTTTGCATACTGAAATAAAAATATTTTAATATTCTTCCAAATTGTTTATTTGTTTTTTTTATTTATTTTAGAATGCTTGTTTTTAACGTTTAAATAATTTTAATAACTAACTTAAGTAAATAGATATATGTAAGCAATAATTTTCTTGGAGTGAACTAATCCAATACATATATAAACTATAAATAAGTCTTTTAAATAAACCAGACCAAAACTTCCTTCGATTTTTAGCCTGACTAACAAAAAGATAGATTTCCTCATTTATACATGCATATATCACATCAGTTAGAAGAAGGAGAAAAAAAATTGGCGAAAATTGGCAAAGCTTTTTCCTTTGCGATAAGAGCACAGTATTTGTGTGGACATGAGCGTGTCCGTGTGGGTGTCTGCACTCATGCAAGAATAAGCCGATAAAACCCTGACAATTGTGTCATGGAGTAGCGTTTTAGTTTTCGGATTGGACTTAATGCCTCTTGACTTCAATTTGCATAGTCGGCTTAGCAACGTTAGTGCAATGATTGAATGGCAAATTGATAGAATTCGGCATTTACCAATTGACAGCTGGGAAAAAGCTTTTCCGGACGGAGGAGACGGAAGGAAAATTAAACTGATGGCTTTGGAGTTCTGTTTGTGCTCGTTTTAATTATCGAAAAATTTAAATATGATTTGTGGTATGTAACAAGAAGCTTTATGATTGGTCTGTTTAAAATAATGCAATTTGGGTATTGACTTCGGCAAAATAGTGGTTATGATATGCTCAAAGTGGTTTCGTTAATAAGTCAAATGGATTTGTACCTTTATCACAAATGACATTTATGGCGTTTTAATTAGTCAGTCAGCAGAATATTATATATTTATTACGAAAAGACATTTTAAACTTGACCCTTATATTGCTAACAATGCAAAAGTATCACACTCAAAGATAGCCCTCACTATATTAACTTTGTTCAAAACCAGAAGTCGTTTGAAGCCCGCAGGATTGGCAATTAATCCAATTAGGTCAGAACGTATTTGCCTCTCATTAAAAATTAAATCTTTTGCTCTTGGTTGGAATCAAGGGCTTTTACCAATTACCAAGCAGTTTTTAGTTCACTTTCCCACATTTAAAAATTAAATAGAAAGGATGAAGATAAAGAGGTTGCCAGAGCGGCTTCTTTTGCCAGAAACTCAAATGAAAATTAAGCCATCTGCCATCATTTAGCTTAAGTGCTTATCCAGTGGGGGGACGCAGACAAGGACTCGTTTGCCCACAGGACAATCAATTATGAATGCAACACTAAGCAGCAGCACGGCAAAAGAGTCAATGTTGAAAGTTAGATTCACGTGGGTGCGAAGCTTTTGGGTGGATAAGGGAGATAATTATATGTTTTAGGTGACATTGATTTGTCGCCTCTAGGATGGGACGGTAAATTCCCATGATATTTAATTCATTAGCTAACTAATCGGCTTACTCTGACAATTATTATAATTGATGTCAATTATCTTAATGTGGCTCGGCCTAGCAGGCCACGTTTTCTCTCTCCACTCTCTCCATCTATTTCTCAGAACAATTTCTCAGTACAGTCAACAGCTGAAAACAAATAAGATATACATATACTCGTAAAATAAATTAAAAAAATCTATATATTTTGTACACTTCAAATGAACATGAGAGGAAGTGTTGCCGTACGGTCTATGTTCCTGGATTGTCTCCGGGAAAATGCCGCCAACATGCGTCTGGAGCACGAGGATCTGGGGCGTCGTATTGCCATTTCACTCGCCAATTCCCGGAAAACTCTGGCAAACATCGAGAGCATGAATCTTGAGCTACAGAAAATGAAGGAAACTATCCATAATGCTCTTAACAACATTCAAAAAGATGCGACATATGAAAATAAGTCTTGTCGCATGCTCTTAAGAATTTTAGTTATAGTTGTCAATGAATTTGATTTGGAGGCCGAATTAGATCCCAAAATTGTCACTCGGATGTTTATCGATAAGTCGTTTCAACCGGCACTGGAAGAAACTCTCAAGCCCGTTGATGATTCTAATGTGGATCATAATGGTAGGACCGTCTGTTCTCAAAATAATATTGATATGGCTGAGTTTCATGATGGACCTAAGCCAAGAGATGCTTCGGAAGATAATTCTAACTTGGTTGACATGGAAATAATTGAATCCGTAAACGAATCCATGTCCCATATTAATTTTCAATAATCAACCGTTTAATATTTTTGACCAATTGAATTAAATTTTTCATGGTAAATTAACCAAAATAATTTTTTGCAAATGGTTATGTATCTTTTCACCTTTTATATTTCACCTTAATAAGATTTATTTTAAGTCAAATGCCAAAAATAATTGTTTTTCATTTATAAACAACTCAAACGAAACTGTTTTTTATAGAAATCGGAGAGATTGGAAATAATGTAAATCAAAATTCCAGTAGTCTTTTAAAAACAAAAGTTTCAACTTTTATTTTTGGTCCCTAAAGAAAAGTTTTGCTTTTATTAATTAACTAAGAATCAATGACAAAACAAAACACAAATAAGCATACAAAATTGTAAAAGGAATTTACGTTTGCATTAAAGCACCTGCCATTTTTGTTTAAGCAATTTCCACATTTTGTGACACCGAAAAAAGCCTATTAATATTTAATTTGGGAGAACTCATTTCTAGGAGCCCAGAATATTAAGCCCAACACTCCTTGAACCGACAAACCTAAAAATGTTTATAAAAACACAAAGTTTTGGCCAAACTTTGCACTCAAAAAGCAAAAGGAAAAGCACGCACATTCCAACACGAAATTTTTGGCCGCAGAGTCGAGGCAACATTACGTATACGCACTGTGACAGGCCGCATCCAGGGCTAAGGACAAGCCCAACTGGTAATCCAAGTGGTGTGCAGACCCAGCATCCACGCTACAAAACAATTTGTCGGCGATTTGTCGGCAAACTTGAGCGGCATTACACATACGCACCGAGTGAGCCATATTGCACATACGCCCCATGTGACCCACAGAGGAATAACGAGAATAACGAGGTTAAACGACCAGCTGAGCAACCTGTTGACTCTACTCTCTCCTCTTCCACTCAACCGAAATCACTCAACGGTAGCTTTGTTTTGCTCCGCTCTTTCGCCGGCAACCAGCCATTCGCACTCACTCCACGACTTTTTCGAACTCACTCCGAGTGCTTTTCGCTTGGCGACGGTTCTCCAGCTGTGGTCGAGTTCAGTTGTTCAGTTGCCGCTTCTCAGTCGCCACGTGCGGTTCGGTTACGGTTACGGATTCGGGTCCCAAGAAAAGTTGCGTCGCGGTAAAAATCCAGTTTACTTCGCCTTTCTAGAGCGGGAGTATACGTAAGTGACGCTCGCGTGCCTAAAGTCAGTTTGGATAGTGGGCGGATAAAGATACAATTCGATCCAGAACCGCACGACGAAGATACATTTTTATGCAGTTGAATTTTAAATGAATTTGTTTTGCGTTTTCGAGAGAAAAACCCAAAACCTACAAAGAACATAGATGAACAATAATTTAGGCAATAAACCAATTCTTTACACTAGATCCAATCAAAAGTCCGAAATATTTCAATGAACTGCATTTTAAAAAATAATTTGAACATTAGCTTGTGAATAAAAGATTACTAATAAAATAAATAATAATTATAATTATAATAATAATTTTTCCAAACTTTAAATTTTAACTAAATGTTCTTTGTAAAGCAAAAAAAAAGTAAAATTTTCTTTTCGTGCATCTTCATAACTATCTATCCCCCGTCTGAATTTGTTTATGTTCCGCCCTCGCCAATTCGGTTTCCATTCAAATTAACTAGTTCTGCAATTCTCATTTTAACTTCTGACATCGGCTGTAATCAAATTTTGCCTTTCATTTACAACTTGTTATAATTCCGGTGCCGTTCGCAGCCGGAAACGTGCTCGCCGCCGTTTTGTCTACGCCACAAAATAGAAAAACTGAAGAAAAATAAAAACATAAAAAGAAACAAAACAAAAGTAAAATAAACTTTGGCAGCAAAATATTTCTTCGGCATTTTTGTTGCAGCGTTTCTTGTTTATAAAAAAAGGAACAAGACTGAAAAAATAACAAATGCATGTGAAGACATTTTGTCCGCAGTGTTATGAAGTGGTTAGAATCTTGGCTTGCGCTTGTCTAAACAAAATATAATATATACGTTGTGCATTTATGAATATAATATGTGGAGCATCCTTGGCTGGTTGCCGAAATGACAAAATGATGCATTAAACTAATTGGAAAAACTTTGAGAATTTTCTGTGAGTGCTCAGCGGAGCTGAAGAAAAGCCACGAAAAGTGATCAAATGAGTGTGTGATGTGGATGGAAATACATGGTGGATGTGATTGAATTTAGAGGCTAAAATACGATAAAAACATGACTTATGACTAAAATAAATTAATTTCAACGGAAATTGCTACCCTAACAATGTGAAATTAAAAAAAATTACAGCAACGGAAACAATTTAAAATGGTAAAAGAATAAGTGAACAAATTAATGCTAATTCAATCCAACAGCCAATAAATTTTAAATACCCAATTTTCTGAAAGTCCCACAAAATAATTGAAAATATTTTCTGCATGCAAATTTGCAATTAAAACATCGAATTAAATAAATTCAATAGGCAATAATTGTCCATGTTAATTTGTCACTAACCTTGGCCAAAGTTGTTGCTTGTTTACACAAGAGTGTCAGAATCGGCCAGACAAGTAAACAAGTAAGCGAGAGCAAATATTTTAACAGAAATTGAAACAATCAACAAGCTGAGATGGTCCCAAGAAGTTCGTGAGAAAATTGAACTTTATTACTAAAATAATAAAGGTCAAGATACCCTAAGAAGCAATGTAATGTAAATAAAGCAGGTTGAGGGTAAATTAAGAGCACAGATAAGGCAGCTTATGATAATATGGTGTTGATTGGACTCGGGGGAATTTAGCGAGTGCGAACCCGCAATGTTCACATAATTGAAAAATAGATTTCTCTACACTCGGCTGAGAATTTGTGAATACTTTCAGCATATTTATGTGAATACGGGGGATCCGACTGTGTATTCGGCCAGCTGTCCAAGAAATCTAGGCCGTTTAAATTGCTCCACGTTCTTTACGTATATAAACCTCAACTATATTTAGATTTCTTTTATACATAAATACGTACAATTTGACGTATGAGGAGAGTTCCAAAAACTGATTAATGAGAACTAATTTTTTAGTTTATGCGACTTCTTAATTAGAAGGAAAGCTTTGATTTACCCAACAGCAAATTTGAGCTTTATGTTTTATATTTTTTTTTAAATTAAAATTTGCTTGCCTTGGAGATCTGGAAAATCCCATGAAAACAACCATATAAACAAACAAATTAAACTAGAAAATCCCCGATGAGCCAGAATCTCATGAAACTGCAAAAAAAAGAGAAGACACAGGGTGCAAACAAACATTCATACATATTTAAAGCGTACATATAAGCTCTCTTCGAAGCTTATCAAAACAAAATCCGGCAAAAAGAAGATTTGTTGTTATACGCGAAGTCGAATCTTTTCTATTGGTATTTTATTTTTTTTTTTCATAACTTTTTATATTTTATGTAGCCCTTTATAAATTCGATGGAATACAAAAATTTAATTGACTTGCAAGCAATTACTCTGTTTAATGCATATAAACGATATTTATTTGATGTCATCAGGTGAACGCGAGAATAATTTAATTAACTTTTATTAATGATATTAAACAATTTATGAAGCGTGTTTAATTAGGCTGAGTTTTAATTATTATTATTTTTTAAAGCAAATTTTTTTTAATTTAATGAAGAATGATGATGAAAAAAATATGAATTATTATTATTGCAAAACGATGTGCAAAATGAGTCAGTTTAAGCATTCAACACATTGCTTACATTATAATATAATTTATATATACATCTTTAGTATCAAAAAGTTCCATGCACCAAAGCAAAACTTCACATGAAAAATTAAGCGCAATAAACTGCTAAAGCCAATTTCTTCATCAGAAACAATTATGCCAAAAAAATTGCTTAATGCAATTGAATTTCATATGCAAATTAATAGTTGTCCGACCATTACAAATTTCAATGACCTGCCACTACATATGACACGTTAAAAAATAATAAAGGAAATAATGTATAAAGGAATGAATATTAATTGATATAATTTAATGAGATGTCCAGAAAGCCCACAACTCTCGACACAAAGTCACAGAACAAGCCGGAAAAGCAAGGGAAAATGTGAAAAAAATTTATGAAAATAATTAAGCCGCCAGCAGCTAAAACAACAGCAGGGCTTGACAAAAACTTAACAACTTTATGCTGCCGGTCGGGCCGGTCTGTAAGCTTAATTAACACTAGGATTGCGGTTGGAAAGGAGATTTCCGTGGGCGGAATGGCGAGCTGCCGGCGCTAAATGTCAACAATAAGCTCGAGTGCGGCTGTTGCACTTTCCTCCTCTTTCCGGCCATTTCCATTTGCCACCCATTTTGCAGCCCTTTTTATGAATTTTGAGCAGCTTTCGCCTGCAGATTCTGGGGCAACAAATCTCCAGTGATAGTCACGGAAATCGCTTAAATTGTGCAACCAAAATAAACGGATGGCGCGTTGAATTTATGCAAAAATGTTAAAAGTTTTTCCGAAAGGGCCACACTGCTCTGTCCTTTGAAACTTGTTGTTTTTCCGACTCCGGCAGGGAGCTTCATTGCGCATTCAAGTGGCCCCGTTTGGCAAATGAAAATGAAAATAAAACCCGAAACTTGGACACACCGTCCATGCCCAATTGAGTTTGTTTCGGTTTCGGTTCGGGCTTTGAATATTGCCCCCGTTTCTTTCTTTTTGGACGGTCCCTGGATGATTTGACAAAAGTACTGCATTGGTTTTTTGAGGCTCGAATTTCCGGCTGGCATAGTTTTCATTACCTTCGCACAAATTTCATAGCCTAATTTTTGGCGTCGATATTGCGTATGCATCGCGTGTTGTGAGCGTGAAATAAAAACATTCGTTGGCCAAGCGTCCCATTTTGAAAAGTCGTCAAAAGCAAAAAAAGTTGTTTTAGGATATATTAACAGTGTTACTTTAATTGACAATAGAGGGCAGGACTTTTTTCGTTTTAGTAACAGCTTTTAATCAGATGTTTAAGATAAGCCAGTCTTTTGAAATTGACTTTTAAATTGCATTTTTAAAGTGTTTAAAAAGCGTTTAAAGCCGATCAAAAATTTTTTTAAAAAAAAAAACCCCGGGGTGGGAGGGAA